TTTATCTGAGCATTTTCTAATTTCCTCTTGTTCTTTTTAAAACATTCTCAAATTTCTTGTCAATGTCAGCAAACTTTTTTTCTAACATATTTTTAGAAAAATTAAAATTTTTATCTTTTAGAAAATGTCTAGCGATTTCGCTATCTATATTCGAGACAAGCTTTTCGACAGCAAAACATCTGTCGACCATAAAATCTTACATAGTGTAAACAAGAAAGGTGAATTTGTTCTAAAGTTCTGTTTCTGGGAATATGACAAGAACCATAAAACATTACAGAGCAGTCTTAAAATTTGTCAATGACAGACTTGTTGACAGAGATGACGCCGATTGGAAAGATGAAGTCCAACAAAAGTTCTTAGAATGCAAAGAAGACACATGCGCTGTTCTTGAAGATGAAATAGAAAACAGAATAGATGAGCTATTAAAGGACAAAGAACTTTTACATAAATATGGTTGCGAAATTTGACATAACTCCACCAGAGAAGAAGAAGAGAGAAAGAAAAGAAAGAAGAAAGAAGAAGAAAGTAGAAGAAGAGAAGAAAGAACCTGAACCAGTTCCAGAGAAAAAGAAATTTGACATGTAAAAATAAAATTTTATTTTTAGAACATTTCTGGGTCAATGTCAATGTTCTCTTCCTCTTTAGGAGCAAACACTGGCTTAGACTCTAAAATCTTTTTACCCAATTTACCTTGAACTTCAACTATCTTAGACTCATAATATTCATAGTCGTCTGCTTTCTTTGGTTCATAAGGTATAACAAGTTTGTATGCTTTGCCTTCTTTAAGGTTTGAAAACCTTCTGTCAAAACTTTCTTTGACTGCTAACGAACCTTCTATGTCTAAGTCTTCAAATTTCGCACCATTTTTAGTCACAATAGCAAACTTAACTGGTTCGATGTTCCAAACTTTGCTGAATGAAGACTTTTCAAAATGGTAGAAGTAAACATTCAAATATGTGAATGGGTCTAGTTCTTCTTTAAGTCCTGACATGTACTTGTTTACTGAAATATATTTTGCCATCTTTTCTATCGGATAAAAAAATATTTTTTTTTAAAATTTACTCATAAAAAATTTTCTTTGTATATACACCATTCTGTACGTCTAAAAGACTTTTGACATTTGCCAAGAATGTTCGTTTAGACGCTGTCATATAACCATATTCTTGACAATATTGTTTATACGAATCGTACAATGACCTTTCATCTAAACACTCAAAGTCAGTTTCATCTATGAACAGTTCATATACACTCTTGTTTGCTTCTAACAATGTTTGTCTCTCTTCGGTATGTGGAATTTGTCTTGGATTGAACTTTGAAATATCTAATGTCATAAAATATGAGAACAAGTGGTTGTAAAAGTCAGATGTCAAATATTCTGACAAAGCGTCAAAATATTCTGTATCTTGCATATGAGAATCTGACGTTCTGACAACTACATATCTTCTGTCAGAACTTTCTAATTTCATCGGAACAGCATTGTTTGAAACCATAATGAAGTTTGCAACATTTTCACAAACTCTTTGGTCTTTATACTTTCTTTCAACAACTCCAACTTTATCTGTTATAAGACTCTTCAAAGCATCTGAGTTTAAAACTTTTGTTGTATCTATACTTTGAAGTTCGTTACATACTATAAGTTTCATATTCTCAATTGAAGAGTTAAACTTGCCACAGATGTTTTCTAAGTTTGTCATATTAGGGTTCGAATAGCCCTCTAACAGTTTGCACAAAATATCTGTAAAGAATGTGTTCTTACCAGTTCCTTGTTTTCCAATTATAATGAGAGCAGTTTCATTTTTAGCACTTGGATGTTGTAAGATGTTTGCAAACCAACATAAGATATACTCATAGACTCTTTCGTTTCCATTGCATATAATTTCTTTGACATGGTCTAACCAAGCTTCTATAATATTTTCTTTCCATTCTACTTGTTCGTATTTATATCCAGTGAAGATAGAATAGAAGTTTGGAGAAGGTGTATAGAACTTTATACCTCGAACTGAAAAATCTTCTAACTTTGACAATAAGATATCCCAAGCATCTAACATCTTCATTCCAACTTGTACAACTTTTATTTTCTTAAGTTTCTGTCTACATTCTTGTTCAGACACTATTGTCGCTTTAGGTTTGTTAAAGACAACATCCCATTCTTTCATGACATAACATTCTGGGGCAGAGTCAACATAAATGACTAAACGTTTCAAATTCTCGACTGCTTTGTTATAGTCTCGAAATGGACACATATTTCTGAATGCTTGGAAGTCATAAAAATCTGAAACATCTATTCTGTACATTTTTATAAAAATAAAAAAAATATTTTTTTTTATTCTTGACTTTGTTGTTGCATTTGTTGCATTTGTTGCATTTGTTGTTCTTGAGCTATTTGTTGTTGAAGTTGTTCTTGTAATACAATACTTTCACCAGTTGCATCTTCCAATTCGAAACTTTCTGCCGTCATTGACAAATACATAGGACATAAAAGTTTTACAGGAACAAAGTTTGCGTCAACTAATGTCAACGTTATACTTGCCAAAGTGTTTGAGTTCACTAAGGTTGAAAATTCTGCATTCGAATGAACAATAGGCAAACCAGCAGAGAAAGTATTGTTTATACGCATAAGTATCTTTTGGTCATAATAGTTTCTGTCGACATTCGAATAGCACTTTGAACCTAAGTTTGAAACAATATATAAGATTGGTGTGCTTAATGTCAATGGAATAGACATTCCTTGTATGACACCTTTTCCTGTTATAGGAAACTGTTGGTAGTAAAAACCAGATATAAGTTTTGTATTATAGCTCATGTTGTTTATAGTAAACTCAGTCGGACATCCAAACATAACGAAACCTGCTCTAGTTGCAGCACATGTTACACCCGTCCTTAAAGTATTAAATAAGTCAACAAAACCTGTTGGTGGTATATCTGAGTAAGTATCTTCAAAGGAGTATTTTTTACCATTCACAACAATAAAGTCTTCTGGTGTCAAAAGAGCAAAACAGGCTTTAGTCGTCATTGTGTTTAAAGTTAGTTTACAATATCGTCCTTGAGGACTTTGTAAGTTTGTTGTTATAGAATTATATGACTCAGGGTTTTTAGTCGTAATAGTATAAACCATTATATCTTCTGCCATTTATATATATTTTAAAAGTTTTTCTGAAAGTGGAGAAGAACTTCATCTAAACTTTCACATGGCGTTTCTTGAAGTTCTCTGTCTAAGAAGTTCAAATATTTTGTAAAGACATAGAACTTTCCTTTGTCTACACGAACAAACAAAACAGGGTCTTTCATATCGTTCAAAAGTGTGTAAAGTCCTTTATATGAAATAAAGTCTATATTATTTTTCTTCAAACATCTTTCAAGAAGTTTTGACATTTTTACTTAGCAAATAAATTTTAATGAAATGTTGTGGTCGTCAAATATTTTTATGACGTCTGGGAAACTATACTTTAAGTTCAACGTTTCACCTCCTTTCATAACGTATATCTTGTCAATGACATTATATGAAACACCACAGCAACTAATGTCGGGTTCTATTTCTTTGATGTTTATATCGTCTGCCTCTGTCAAAAGTTTCAATAGTTCTTTCAAAACTTCATGAGGTGCAATGACATATGAGTTCACTTTTACAGGGTTGTGTTCGACCAAGTTTAACATTATACTTAAAGCTTGACAAATCTTCTCCTGAGTTTGAAGTTTGTCTTTCAGTTGTTGGTAGTCGTTTCGAATATCTGCAACAGAACTTAAGTCTCTGCTAACTTCAGGATATGTTGGTTGTTCTTTTACAGGAACAATTGTTATACCATCTTCGTCTTCGTATGGTTTCCCCACTTCAACATCTCTGTCTTTGACATTGACAACAACACTTTGACTGTTTGTTTGAGTTGGTGAATTTAACTTCACATCTGCCACCGCCATTAAACCTTTTGAAACACTTACGCTTCTATTTTTCGGAAATGACATTTTACTTAGAATAAAAAGATGGACGTATTCGGATATCTTATTGAATTGAAGCAGAACAAAGTTTATATACTCACAAACAATACAAATACATTGACAGAATAGTTCTTTATCTAACAAACAATGGAAAATGTTTATAGAATAGCAGTCTTTGCTGAACCTAAATATTTTCATAAAGCAAAGAAAGTTGGTATAACTGAAATGGTGAAAGTTCTTGAAGCAGACAAAAATATAACTTCAAAACTTACAGATATTTCTAAAGGAAAGTTTATCTTACAATATTATGTCAAAACTGGCGTACTGTCAATATTTGACGGAGAGAAGTCAGTTCAAGAACAACTTACTGACCTGCTGCCAAAATCTGCTCGATGGAAGCTGTCGTTATGCCAATCTGAGGAGCCCCAGCAGGTTTCATCGAACGAATCTTCAAAAGAGCATCTTCCGTGAAAAGTGCTATTGGTTTTGTAAACTTCTTTGCTCTCAGTTCATCTGGACCGTCTCTGTCACCAGTATATTGTATTTGACACTGTACCAACAGTTGAAATACCACCCATAAAGTCTTCTGAGTCAGCAAATGGAATGCCAAGCCAAAAGTTTGAACGGTCTCCATTTGTATATTGAGTTTTTTGACCTCCTGTATGAGTCCATACTTTCACATATGGCATAATAGAACTTTGCATTTCAGGGTTAATGGTTGTTGTGAAGTTGTTGTTAAAGTTCATAGCATCTAATGTCAAGTTGTATGACCTCATATCCTCAACTGTAGAATATTCTTCTCTTGGATAATATTTGCCATCTATGTTTATATGATATTTAATACCCGGGTTGTAGAAACAAGAATAGTCATTTATAGTTCGTCTGAACAGTACAAACATAGTATCTGCATGTTTCATTGCAGTTGTTAAGGCAATATCTGTTCTTGCACCTGGTCAGCACTTTGGTTTCCAACTTCACCTGCAAAGTCTTTGACAGATATTTGGTGTATAGGGAACATAAGTGGAACTGCAATATATTTGGCAGCTAAAGCATTTGAAATATCTGGGTCCAACATATAGACTGCAAGTCTGCTTTCTATTCTCTTGCATTCAAATTTTTCGCATGTAAACTTAACTGGGTCCCAAGCAGTTCCAGCAGCATTGAAATAATAGTTTACTTCATTGTTGAAGTTTGAGAAACCAAAGTCTAAGTCAACTTTGTCTTTGCAAAAGTCACAGAACTTGGCTCCACCAGTTCCAGCTACAGTAATGCTGAATGGGTCTTGTGTTGGTGCAATGACTAAGTTATTTTTGCTTGGAGTAAGTTCAATAGAAATTTTTCCTGCCCAGTTTGGCAAGTATCTTAAAAACCTGAAGATGAGGAAAGATGACAAAGGAACTCTAAGTTTCAGTTTTACTTTAGTGGCAGCATTTCCATCTGAACCAGAAAGGTTAACATAAACTCCTGGAACGTTAGGGTCAAGTCTTCTTATTTTCTCAATATTTGCATACTGGTCTGTTTGTTCTCTAGCTTGTGGTTGTACTGAGTTTCTCAAAGCGAACCATTCATAGTTTGCCCATGTTACTGTTTGAACTAAGTCAGAGTTAGAATATATCTTATATCCCATGAAAACTTCTGGAGCATATTGGTATCCGACATAGAAAATTCCATTGCAACCTTTCTTGTCAGACAACTTGGCAGAAGGTTTTATTTCAATGTCTTGTTCCACGTATAAGAATGAGTTGTCAATAGAAATAATATGAAACCTGTCGCAAGCAATATCTACTGTTGTTGAAGAACCTTCTCCAAACTCACCTACGTTTCCATAAGAAACAGCAGTTGTATATTCGTAAGTTCCAGGAACTATTTCTGACCTTCTAATGGCATTGTCGCATTCGTTATACCATTCGGAAACATTTCCGTTCATGGCATCCAAAACTGTTGGCGTTATATTCTGAGCGGCGTACATTTCATATGGGTAAAAATATAGAATAGTTGGATTTATGTGTCATAATAGAACCCACTCGTACCAAGCTTTACTTTCTTCCTGACTGAGTTTTTAACTCTTCTTTTTCCTTCATTGCCACTACTTTCACTAGATGAAGTTACTTCTTCACTACTTTCACTTTGTTCTACTCTTCTTCTTTGGTGTCGCTTTTGGTAACTTGCCCTCTGCTTCAAGTTGTTGCATCTTTGCCTCATGTTCACCTAGTATGTTGTAAATTTCCCATGTCCTTTTTGCCTTTGGGCTCTGGTCGCCCATCTCAGGTAACCTATATCCTAGAAAGATTTTGTCATAGTTTGTATTTGAGTCGTCGCTTATTGTTTGCATGACTCTTTCCTGAGTTTCCGGTTCAAGCTCTTCAAACAGAGCTTGTCCATATGGAATAAGCTCGTTTCCAAATATATGTTTTTGTAGCCATTCTGGTTTTCTTTCCATGTTACCAATAATATCTTTTGTGAATGGGAAAGCTTTTACCCAATGTTTCAGTCTTGCGTCATTTATTTCTGTAGTTGGTTTTATTTTGTCAAGGAACATGTTTTTCAATACTAACATTTCATTTGGTACTGTCCATTTGAGTTTTCTTAAATATTCATCCCTTCTCGGTTCATTGTCTGCAAAGTAAGTTTTTATGACATTTTGTAAACTTTCGTTTGCAAGGTCATGTACAATAGGTTCTCTTCCTTCTATCTCCCTAACTTTCTTTCTAAACTCTTCACCAAATATACCATCTTTATGGTTCTGTGTAGTTCTTTGAGATAAATGTTCTAGAACGTCAGGTGTTATATTTCCTTCAGCCATGTTCATTTCATACTGGTCCAAAATATCTGCATGTTTCATATCTTTCAATGGCATTAAAGCCGCGCTGAAAATACCAGCTATATCTGGTTCACCATTCACTTCCATTGCGTCTACAACTTCTTGGAATTGTGGTTGTAAGTTTATGAACCACCTATCCGGATTAGCTTTATGACCCCATCTCATTGTAGTTCCATAGTCTGCAGAAACAAAAGTAGGTTTGTTTCCATATTGGTTAGGTTCTGAATGAACTTTAAACAATGTTTCATTTCTATATGTTTTGTTGAAATTTAACCTTTTATTTTCACCGAGTTCAGCCAAAGATTGAACGTTATATGGTCGTAAGTAAAAAGGATTGTTGTATTTGCGTACATTTTCTTTCAGTACTTCCATTCTATGCTGAATATTTTCATCTGATGTTGGAGTCTTTTGTATGTCGGCGAACATTTTTCGATATTCTTCTACTATGTCAGCTGAATTTTTCTTAGACTCTTGGAAAGATTCCATATTCTCCGCATACTCTTGTTGAGGGTCAAGATTTTTCGGCTGTTCCAAATCTTCATCTAGTTCTGTGAAGTTAGTTTCCAAAGGAGGGACTTGTTCGTTTCCTTCAGGCTCTTCTAGCTGTTGTTGCTGAACTATTTCTTCCATGTCTGGTTGTATCTGAACTTCTTCCTGTTGAGTTTCTTGTACCTCATCTGCTGGCATTTCATATATTCCGAGACCGTTTTTAAAAAGTTCCCTATCTAAGTCATCCGGACTCATAAACCTTTCTTCTTTCGTTCAGTCTCTATTTTTTACGCGTTTCATGAAGAGAGTTGAATTATCATTTAGCTCTGACACCAAATATCTCGGAGTAAATTCAGTCATGTCATTTGGATGATATGCTATTAAATCATATCCCTTAGCGAGCTTGTATTTTCCAGGTTTGAAATTATATCCCATTTGGTGCTGAACCATAAAGCTAAATAGGTTCGGGTCAGTATTTCCTTCCTTGAACTTTCTAATAGCTTCTTTATATCTGTCACTAAAGTCAAGAGTATCTGGGTAACCATAGTCTTCCTTAAGCATTTTTAAGAATTCTTGGTTTCCTTGTTCTCTACTTCTTTTATGTCCTTGCTCTGTTTGTGGTTGTTGCTGTGCAGTGTTTTGAACTGTTGGTTGTGGTGCAGTGTTTTGAACTGTTGGTTGTGGTGCAGTGTTTTGAACTGTTGGTTGTGGTGCAGTGTTTTGAACTGTTGGTTGTGGTGCAGTGTTTTGAACTGTTGGTTGTGGTGCAGTGTTTTGAACTGTTGGTTGTGGTGCTGGATTTTGAACTGTTGGTTGTTGTGTTGGTTTTGGTGCATGCCTGTGTCTGTGTCCATGTGACGATGTAAATGTTTTAGGTAGTCCTGGTGCAGGTGCTTCTCTTGGAGGGTTTGGTGGTATATAAGTTCCACTAGCTAGTATATAAGTTCCACCAGCTGGTATATAAGTTCCACCAGCTGGCACATATGTTCCATCTGCAGCATAATGTCCTACCTGACTTTTCGTTTTTAAGAAAGCATTTACTAGGTCTGTTTTGGTCTGTTGTAACTCTTTTTCTTGACTTTCCACAACAGTTGCTCTAACGGCGTCATAGGCACTTTGAACTGCCTGTCTCGTTGCTGCATCTGTTATTTTCGTCATATTTTGTGCTACTTCTCTTAACTCGTTGTCGAAACCTTCAGACTTCAGTTTCTTTCCAGATGAGAAGTCGTTCACTAGTTTCACCTTACTATGAAGAGCTTCGAAGGCGTTCTTAAAGTCAGCATTCATTAAAGCTTCATTTGAACTGTCTTCATCCGCTTGTATTTTTGTCCTTATTGACCCTATAAGTTGGGCTGCTTTAGCGTTGGCTTGGGCATCTAACCAGTCATTATTAGCTTTTATATATTCTGCGCTTTTCATTGCCTTTTGCATGGCTGCGTCGTTATTTTTACTTTCTTGTGCTAAGTTTTCATACTGTACGGTTTGGTTTTGCAACTGTAAAAGTTTTTCTGCCTTTACATTTGCTTCAACTTCTTTTTTATACTCATCGCTATCCATATATGTCTTCAGGGCTTTTTGTTTTATTTCTTCATCTTTCAGTACTTTATATTGAGTAGTATGGTTTTTCAAATTTATAACATCTTGTTCCATTTTTGCTACTTCTGCTGCTTTTTCTGACACTTTTTTCGCATATTCCTCTGTACTTAGTTCTTTCAGTTGTTCTTCTTTCTTCTTTTTCTCTACGTTTAACTCATTGAGTTTCTTTGTGTGTCTGTCATATTCTAGTTTCTTTTCGTTTTCACTTATTTGTTTCTGTATGTCTATGTTTGACTTTTTGACATCTGTTATTTGATTTTTGAGTGAACTCAAATTCATTTGACTTTGAGGGTTATAAGCTGTTCCGTCTGCAGCTCCACCATAGCCTGCCATTTTCGCTAAAAGTGCCGCTCTTAAACCTCCACTCTGTGCACCAATAACTCGGTTTAAAAGCATAGGGTTGCTTGACATTTGTTGCAACATAGTGGGGTCATTCATAATTTGTTGTTGCAACTGTTGTTGTGGTGTAGTTTTACTATTGGATGTTTCAATGCTCCCTTCCTCTTACGTATATTCTTACGTAGCTTACGTGGCATTTTAAGTGAAGTTAAAAAGCGGTTTTTGACAGATGTTTATATGACACTTTTGTTCAGCACAAAAAAGTCAACGGCGATGACTCTCAAAAACCGTTGTGCAAAAAGTTTTACCGTTGGACAAAAAAGCATATATAGAAAACAAAAAACGTTTATAGTTCATTCAATATTTGAGATGGAACGGTTTTCCAACGGTAACTATTAAATAAAATAAAAAAATAGAGGGGGTTACCGTTGACGAAAACGGTTCATCTCAAACTTTTCTATGAGTGGTCCGAAAAAAACAGTTCATTTTTCATAATGTACGCGTCTCGAACAGTGAAGCCCAATTCAATAGAATACTATCTCGAAAAACAAGAAGCTGACACTGCTATTCAGTCTTTAATACAGAACCAAGCTCAGGAGAACTCAAAAGACTCCCAATTCAAATCGACATCCAATTCGAAGCAATTAAAACTTGACTCGAATGTTTTAAAACCACAGCCCGCACGAACAAATACAGCTCTAAGAATAGACCAAAGAATACCGAACAAAGAGTTGAGGTCAAGATTGAAATTACAATCGGATGAGTATTTTTCCCTTAACAACCAGGGAAATACTCCATATAACCGTATCTACACAAATACCGTTAAAGAAAACATAACGGCATACACAAAACTCTGTCAATTGGTCCCCAACCAGGACCAATTGACGGACATTATATGTTCCTACCTTCCCATATTTGCTGAGTGTGTGGAAGGTAGGACATTGTTACAAGCTTGCTTACGTATGCCACCAAATCTCCGTCAACAATTTGCTCAAATTGTACATGAATTTAAAGCTTTTAACAACGGATACGATGAAGATGAAGTAGCAGATGAATTTGGGGAAGAAAAAACATTTTTCCCCTCATATAATACGCCTGCAACAGTATTTCCTACTAATGAATTTCACAACTATTGTGTCGTTCATTTAATTGTTGTGGATATGCCCACAGGTGAAGACATTCTCAGTGGTGACTTCATCGAAGTCTGTATCAATACAGAATTGGGAGAAGATGAGTTGCACAAATTCTCCAACGTCGAACATATATTCAAACCAGCACACCAACTCTTTATCGAAACTGAAATAACACTCACACAAAATATGTCCATCTCATTTAAATCCAAATCAGGACGTCCATACAGAATTTGGATGAACTACGTCCTCCTCCACTACGCCGACGATGACGAAGAAGAGGAAGAGGAGGAGGAGGAAGAAGAAGAGTCCTCCGAATTCACACCAGAAGACGAACAATTTTCCGAATAAAAACTTCATTTATACTAAACATCTTCGGGGCTAGAGGGCACGAAGTGCCTGGAAGCCCCACTACCTTTTTTTTTTTTTTTTTTTTTTTTGTTGCTCTGTACGAAATGAGATACAATATGTTGTTCAATATGTTTTAAAAATGAATGTTTCACGTTCAAGATTTTCAGATGATTTTAAAGGGTCAGTTTCATATTCTTCTGGATATATCTATTAAACTCTGAAACAACATAAAGACGGATAATGATACGTATATGCTACTGTAAAGTTAATTCAGAAAAATTTCATTTCTATCATAGAGAAAAAGTACTTTTAAGTGTTAAAAATTGAACAGTTGTACAATCAAGCTAGTTATCCAAAATACAAGCAATCTTTATCAACGGTTATATGAATAAAGTTTTCAATTATTAGTTGTGTAACGAAAAAGTGTAATAACAATTGTATTATTCATACAATACAGGATGCGTAAATTTATTCACTAATATATACATAATATCGTAACAAAATAAAAATAAATATAATTGTCTGAAGGAATGTTACCATTTCTTTTGTTGGAAAAGTATTGGCTTGCGATCCTTTTCTTCCTTTGCTTCTCCATGGCGCATTCTTGTTTTTGTTGGGCTATCATCGACAAGGAGTGTATCTAAGTTGAGTACATCAGGTAAAATAACATACCTTATAGATGCTCCACGAATTGTTAAATTTTCGAGACGTTTCTCCTCTTGACCTGGTGCTTTGATATGAACGAGACGAAGATGTGTGTTCATTGCTGAATCAACACCAACAACAGTTCCTTTGATTACTGTATTATCTTTCAGCTCAACAGTAACTGTTTCTCTTACGAGTTTACGAAGAAAATGAACAAGCTTCATTTTTTTAGAACAAAAAGTGACAAGGAAAAATATTAAATTGTCACTTTTGTAATAATAATAAAAAATGAATTCAAAGATTTTATATATTTTCCTAATCCTTGGCATATTTGAAGTATTCCATTTCTACTACATTACTGCTGACCAAGAAACTCAGCAAGAAATAACACTATCTTTATCATCAAAAACAAAATTTTTGCAACAAATATTCACATCTATTGAAGATTACGTTCTAAATACTTATTACTTAATTATAGAAGATGATGTCATCGAAATCAAAAAAGATCAAACTAAATGGAAACGAGATTTTAATCGTTTTGGATTATTTATTAAAGTTGTAACGATTCGCACATACAAAACAATTTTTAGTCTCCTAAAAGAGATCCTATACCCTATTCACATCATATATAGGATTATTCAATCTATATTGTTAACAACCTTGCGATTTATTATAATAACCTACAATTTCTTATGCATTTTCTCAACGCATATCATACTGTTTTTCTTAAAATTGATTGCTCGCATTGTACGCTTTGGATATAACATTATTGCATTAGTTTTCAATCAATTGGAGAATATAGTACTTTTGATGTCAAAGTCAAGCTAATTTTTAGCTTGTTTTGCTATTTAAAATTTATTTGTATGTTATTTTTGTAAACTATTTCTTATTGATATCTTTTGAATGCTTTTTCCCAAAAATTGTCACTCAAGCATAAATGATTCGAACTTGAGAAACTATTCAATGAACAAATTAAGATGATTAATCTAGATATTTCAAAATAATTGAATTTTCAATGTGAAAGAAACCAATCAATAACCAAATTCATTTTTTGGACTATAAAAAGGAGAAATCAATCTGTGCCTATATTTTAATCTGCGCGGTAACACTCATGTAGTTGCAATATCTTTTAGTAAGCAGATTTTTTGTGTGAAGTAAACATGTTAACATGTATGTATATGAGGAAATAGTTCAAAAGTTGAAAACTTGATAAATTTTTCCCCTTTAAAGTAGCAACTAGATTTATAATCGTGAGAATCAGCCCAAACTGACCTTCACTCACATAAGAGTAACCACATATATATCTAGACTGGTCACTCTTTACTGAAATCAACCTTTTTACAAGTCATTTTAAAACATAAACCTTTAAAACACATAACAAAAAAATAATAAGATATAAAAAAACAAAATTAAACATCTGAACTTGAAAAATCCGAAATATCAGATTGTTCTTGATTAACAATTGGATAATCAACGAAAGCTGCTCGTTTGTCGACAATTGGTTCTGCGAAAGGATAATCAAACACTGAAGTAGTTGAAGAAGAAGAAACAGAATCATATGCAACGAAATCATCATTACTTTGTACATCATTGATTTCATTTTTAATTTCATTTTCATTTTCAGTTTGTTCTGTTTCTTCAATATTTTGTTGTTCACCGTTTTCATCATATACATTGATTGGCTTTTGTTCTGTTTCATCTGTTTGCTGATCATCATTTAAGAACTTTGTGCAATCAATTCCAAGGGAAAGAGCTGAAAAGAAAAGAGAGCGTTTCTTATCCATAAAAAGAGGAGACAAACCAATCATTGGTGGAGCTTTTGCTGCTTTGACATCATCATTTTCAAGGAAATCAAATTGTAAAACTAATGATGATGCGAAAAGCCAACTTAAACATGTAGTTCTGAATTTTCCAGACTCAAGTTCGTTGACTTCTTTTAATATGCTCTTTTGATTCTTTACAATTATGCCAACAATGCAACCAAGAGATTCATCAAGTTTCTTAAGTGATGGTGCTTGATATTCAACATTATTTATTGGCTTCGCGAGTTCAAAAACAAGTTTATGTATCAAAGGAACAAATTTCTTTTCGATGCGTTCATTCCAGCCAGGAAAAGAATACTTCGGGATCAATTTATTGTATTTAAATGTCATGTAAACAAGTTTACGGACTTCTGTGACATTGAAATCTTTGTCTTTCAAACAGAAATCAGTAAACAAAGATGAATAAAAATCAGAAAGAATAGTAATCAAATCATTACGAGAATTGAAACGAATAGTAGCAAAAGTAGAGATCAATGATGCTATCTGGCGAATGGACATTGGTAAAAGAGAAGCAGCATCTAAAATATACTTCATTGTTGTGAAAAATGTTTTGCCAAGTTCTTCTGGTTTCTCAAGAATGTTGAACTTTTCTTTCGACTTGATGTAATTGATGATTTTGTCTTTGAACTCAATGAACTCTTTGTTATTGATAGCACTCAATAAAGCAGGTGCAATATGATGTACAATGCATAAAGGAGAGGAAACATATTCCGCTGTAACAGTAGGAATCTCGTAAACTGATAAAATAATCGTTGAAACAATGGGAATAAACTTTTGTGAGTAGAAACCAATGGTAAATAGGCTCTTAAGAAGATCTGAATAGTTCTCCGGCTTGATAACACCTGGTTTCGAGAAGGCATGGACAGGAATCAAATCGACATGAACAATTTGCCTGTAAATCGATTGATAAAGTAATGATGGATATGGTAATGCAATTTCTGTTAAAAATGAAAAGAAATGAGGTGGCGATGAACTGTAAACTTGTTCCCAAAATTTTGATAACTTAGGTTCATTTAATTCGAGCTTTTGAACTAAATTCCCGATTGGCCCGTAGATGTTGAGCTTCCCTTCGTCTGTAATCTTCGCACGAGATGTCCTTTCGGCAAATAATGACTTGTATCCGTAACTTGAATTCTGTTTTGGAGTGTAAACATGAAGAACTCGCTCTTCGTCAAGGATCGCGTAATTAACTACTTTGTTTTCGCCTTTTAATAAAGAAATTGCATAAAGTGGAGGTTTTTGTGTGCTTACTGTCCATTGCGTAGGGAAAAGATCACATATTATCCATGATAAGATCTTTTCCGGCTTTTTGGATGACTTAATGAGTAATAATAAAAAATAATAAATCGGAGAGACGTGTTTTGAAGAAGGGTATACAATCGGTGGCCAAAACACAATTGTAGACTTTCGAGCTATATCGTTTATATGAAATTCTATCATTTTCTTTAGCTTTTGGATAATTGGGGGTGGACTTTGAATTAGCATATGAAAAGGCTGTAATTCTAGAATGCGTAGTATAGGTTGAAGAGAATTGAGCAAAGGCACGTTATCCATTTTGCCTAGAATTTTATATGTATCTAAATTTGTTACTATATCTTTGATTTTTTCATTTAAAGATGAAAAATTTCGAACAGAATTACGTTCTTTGGAGAAATATTCATAGAAATCTGCATTTTTCGTTTTATTTATGTCAACAAAATAGGGAAAATGGCTTAAATTCGGGTCATACATTCAAAAATTTCTTTCAAAAAGTGACAGATTTTAAAATGAAAGAAAAAATCGGTATAAGGTTTTCGGTAATTTATTTATAGCAACTCCTTATTTAAGTGAATAATGTAGAATAAATCATGTAAAAGAAATAATGAAGATGAATTCCAAATTTCACTATATATAAATGAAATTGAAGCCTACATTGAATGTTTTCTGATTTTGTTCATACTGAATTATATATGAGTAGAAAGCTGATAGGAAAGACAAGCAAATCATGTTTCTTTTTGTTAGAATGTGTCAAATAAAGTCCGACGATCTAGAGTGTGAAGATATAAACTTCCAACAATTATTTAGGCTAACAAAACAAATTGAATTGTCATTCAACTTGTACAGTGTCTTAATTCTATCAGGACGCACCGATAGAATCAATTGAAAAGTTGTAAAATTTATGAAAATTTTTTTTTCTAAATGTCTCAAAACAAAGACATCCATACATTCTACAAAATGTTAATGGAAAAATATAAGTTCTACCAAGATGTTCTAACGCCTTTTATGCAGATCAGAACAAAAAATGAAGAAGAAATTAAACAAATTTATCAAAATTTGAAAACAACTTTCCTGGATACAAATATTTATTCACCAATTAATGTATACAATCTAATTAACAACATGTACCTATATAATAATCGATATTTAGCATCTTACTGGTCAATTTTCAAAATGATTTATGAAGATTATCATATAAAACCAGATTCCAACTTTGATAATGCATTGAAATATTTCTTTTATAAAGAATATAATCTAAATATAAGAGTGCATGACAAAAAACTTTTTAAAAAATACGAAATTGAAAATTATTCTCTTGAAGTTCACCCAGAAAACACAGTTTATTCGGCAATTATGAAAGATGACCTCCAGTCATTTATATCATTCATACAGAATTCCAATTTTGATAAGAACAAAACCTTAAGAAGTGATTTATATCCGAATGCTACTGGTTTTGAACAATATTCATTATTAGAAATATGTAGTTATCAAGGTGCTGTTAAATGCTTTAAATATTTAAGATCAGAATATAATATGCAAATCACACCAACGTGTCTTAACTTTTCATTCCTATCTGGTGTTCCAGAAATTATGGGTGAATGCTTGAAATTTCAAACACCAAATGATGAAAGCATGTTTTTTGTTATTGTTTCACATAATACTGATTTTTTAACATTTTTGATCAATCAATATCACCTCGAATTGAATCTCTTTCCTTGTGCAGCATGGGCTAATTTATATGCATATCTTATTTATTTGGATATGACAAAAAATTGATGGATTGCTTTATAAATTCTCCTCTCTTTTATCTTCCTTCATTAGTTGAGGATTTTATTTCATTTGGAGTAGATATTAATGCATCAGATTGCAATGGAAAGACAGCAATTATCAATACAGGATTAACTAATAATAGATCAGCAGAAATACTGTTATCTTATGGAGCAGATATTAATTCACGAGATTCTGATGGTTTGACAGCACTTCATAACGCAGCGACTAATAACTATGTAGAATTAATGGAATTTCTGATTAAGCATGGTGCTGATTGTAATGCAAGTGATAGAAATAAGAATTCTGTTCTCCACTGTACAACACGATATGATAATAAAGATGCTGCAGCATTACTAATATCTTATGGTGCTAATGTCAATGCGGTAGATGATACTGGAAAATCAGCTCTTCTTAATGCAGCACAACAAGATGATTTTGCAATTGCAGAACTTTTGATTTCACATGGTGCAGATGTTAATGCAAAAGATTATAACAATTCATCAGCTCTTCATTATGCTGCTGCATATAACTCTGAAGAAACAGCAGAAATACTTATTTCGCATGGGGCACTTGTCGATGCAAGAGATGTGGATAATAAAACTCCTCTTATTGTGGCTGCAGAATATTCTAATAAAGAAGTTGCAGTGCTTCTTATATTAAATAAAGCTAATATTAATGCAAAAGATCGAAATGGCAAAACAGCGCTTATGAATGCTGCCGAAAGAGGATCAATTGAAATTGTAAGTCTTCTTTTGTCGAGTGGAGCTGATACAAAAATTCGAGATAACTTTAAGCATAATGCACTTCATTATGCAACATTATCGGGGAACAATGAAACGTTTAATCTTTTAAGACAATCATAGTTCCAAGAAATTAACATTAGATATTAAATATTTTCTCTTTCTCATTTTCCATCTTTTCTTTTTTATTTGACATTTGCACCATGTGCAATAAGAAGTTCGGCTATTTCTTTATGCATAATGAAGAGTAATTTTTTTCATGTTCATCTCTTTTATTGATATTTGCACCAAGTGAAAGGAATTATTCGCAAACTATCAATTATCAATCAATTAGAGTGGAATCACTTCAAAATCATAAATCCTAGAGAAAAATAGATTAAAAATTAAATGATTTCTTTTCCTTTTGTCAAATAATATAGATAATAATGCTTGTAGATGCATATATACACACTATATTCCAGTATTTATATTTATTCATTCAGAATTCTTTTTTGACATTGTCAAATAAACTTTTCAATCGCCGTTCCAAATTTCGAGCAGGAATGAAGTTTAGTTATTATTCGTGCACAAAAAAATAAATCCATATGTTCATAAAAAATAAGTCCTTCAGTTTTTCGAGTAACTTTTTTTTATTTTAAAAAGTGACACTTGGAGAATATGTTTGGTTTATTTACCCCAGACCCAGTAATCACTATTAAAATTGATGAGAATCCCAAGCTCAAAGATTACGCAACCAATATTCTTAAAACATCAAATCCAGTTTATACTGCAAAAGATAAAGTTACTGGCAAACTTGAAATTTTACCTCCCCCAGGCAAATTTGTTTCACATAAGGGTATAATTCTTCTTCTTGTTGGTGAGTACAGGCGTCCCGATGGCGAAACACTTAGCCGTTTCTTTGTCAAGCGTCAAGAACTCGTCCCTCCTGGTGATCTTAAGACTCCAATCAAAAACGACTTCGTTTTTGATGCTGTAGATTTCCCATGCTCAACTTACAAAGGCACTGCTGTTAATGCTCTTTATTATATTCAAGTCTTAGTTACTCACAGAATGATTGATCAGAAGGTTGAACAGCCATTCGATGTCGTCAAGTTTGACGATAGAGTTAAAGAGAAGTCAATTCACAATGAAGTTGGTATCAGAAACATTCTCCATATCGAATTCGTCTTTCCAAAGTCCCAATACGATATCAAAGAGGCAGTTGTCGGAGCAGTTTATTTCATTCTCATTAAACTGCGTATCGTTCATATGTCTCTTACTTTCTACAGAGTTGAAAATTATTCAAGTGACGAGGCTTACATCAAGAAGAAGACCGAATTAAAGACAATCGAGATCATGGATGGCGCCCCATGCCGTGGCGATCACATTCCAATCCGCTTCTTCCTTGGCGATCTTGATCTTTATCCTTACGAATCATTCAAAGCCTCAAAGTTGGTCGTCGAGCATTACCTCAGAGCTATTCTTATTGATGAGAATGGAAAGAAATACTACAAGCGCCTGAAAGTTACTTTCGATCGCCTTCGTCCAGAATGAGAATCTGTATATGTTTTCCATTTGCGGATCTATCTATCGGCAAAAACATCATAATTTTTCACTAAACATACTATTAAAATATGTCTTTAATTATTTGCCATAATTTACACTCATGATTAAGCATCAAAAAACAATAAAATCACTACACATAAAGAGAATAGATCAAAACATTATAAAATATTTACAAAATTAAAAATTACGGGGATTTGGAGGATTATTCTTCGTCTCGCGAACAGGTAATTGATCTGTTGTTTGAACAGATTTTCCATAAGCACGCGATTGATATACAACACTCCTTGCATGGGCTTCGAAATACTCTTCATTTGGATTGCCATTAATTCGAAATAGAGTATTATGCAAAGCTGCAAGTAAGTGTGATAATTCTGGATTTGAACTTCTTGAATTTCTTGCTAATGATTCTAATTCTGCTCTCATTTCTTGACGAACTTTTTCGTTGGGTCCATTTTCGATTGCTATATCATTTTGAGTGTCATCATTCATCTCTGCTAGCTTGCGCTGCAATTCAAATTTCTTTTTAGGCAATTCTTTTAAGGATTTCAATTTTGGCACAATTTCGTTTGTACTTGATAATCCGAGTTGATTTTTAATTGTGTCTTCAAATGTTATCATTCCATCTTCAATTCCTTTCTTGCTATCAACGCTTTTCTTATTTTGCTTTACTAATAAATCATGTTCTTCGGATAATTTTTCAGTATCTTTTGCTAATTGTAAAACTTTCTTTGCTTTTTCATTTTCTATGCCTTCCAGAATGCTGTAATCATGATCTATTAATTTTTGTTTCTGATCTCGAGCTTCAGCAAGTTTCTTCTTCAAAATATCAAAATCACGATTACCTACTTCTTTAATACGACTAATTTCATTACGTTGTTTTATTATTTTTTCGATTAGCGCCTTCTTTTGATCGCCTTCACTCATTTTTAAACGGCCACAATTCAAAAAAAATTTAGAAAGTTATCATATTCTATTTTCGGACAATCTACTTTACGGGCTTGATTTTCACCCAAGTGGGTGTTGATATCTTTACTAAAATTCATGCTAATTATTTTGATATTCTTCTGAATCATCGGATTCTATTGTAAGGCTTCAATGTTTAAGCTGACTGATATGTACAATAAAGAGTTCAATGCAATAATAGAAATATGTCAAAAGAATTCAGATCGATATTCGGTATTTCGATATTTTGTAATATGTTAAGTATTTCAATGTAAATAATATGCTGAAGATTAATCGATAAAAATCATGTAACTCAAATTATATTCTTTTCATACTTTTATTATATTGATTTGAATCTAATTCTCATGAGCATAAAATGGAAGGATCAGCAATATATATTTTAATTGTCTCATTTTGTTTATTCGATTAATAAAAAGAATGCTCCCAAGAGAGTGATAATAAGAGATAAGAAATAAAATATTTTCCCAAAAATGCTAGACTAATGTGCGATAAAGAAAATATATAGTGTGTATTTGGATACAAAGCATTTTATGCAATTTGGTGCTTTGTTTTCGTTTAATCATCGTAATAATAAAGAAACAAACATTTTTTCCTACTTTGTAAAAAAAGAAAAGTGACAAGGTTTAGATCCTAAACAGATGAATACCCCTCAGGATCAAGAAATGGCTCGACGCTACATCCCGCATTTAATTGATGTGAAACCGGATATAGCTAGAGAGTATACCATTACAGATCTACTTCATAAAATTGATCCGTCGGCTTCAATAGACCCATTAGCTGAATCTTTAATATTAGATATTGCAGATGACTTCATTGATACAATTGTAACATTATCAGCAGATGCTGCAAAACTTAATAACAAACAAACATTAACGGCAGAAGATGCACATTATACTATTACGAGTAAATTCGGCGATACGTCACCAGGTTCTTCAAGTTATGGTTCTAGAACACAGCGTGGTTGTATACCATCCGAAAATCATACAAAGATTCTAGAAATGATTGGAAAATTTGAATAAGGAAAAGAGTAATCATTCACGTTTTTTATTATTTTATGCTTGAATATAAATGATTTTTAATTTAAATATATTAATTAATATACTCAAAGCAAATTTTTGAAAAATTTCTAAATTTAATATCTTTATGAAGTTTTTATGATATGTTTATGGCTACTAAGTGATAGTGGATCGTTGTTTTCTATCTTCTAAGATATTGTCCATCATGTAAACCTCGATGTCACTTTTGCGGTCGAGCGGAGCGAGGCCGCAAAAGTGACATCGAGGTTTACATGGATGGGTTCTATATATACAGCTTGACCGGTAGAAAAGCGGATCGATTTTTATCAATAATTGGACATTCTATTTTTAATAAAATAAACATATATTTATATGGGAAATTAGGAAGATCTGAAACTCAAAAATTCTTTTTGAATTTTAATATGATAAATATAATTGTGATAATATGTACATTACAAATAAAATATTAATTCGGAACAACGATGAGATGTGATAAATTTGATTCTCTCAAAAATCGATTTTGGAGTTTTAATATTGATTTGCATCTTGAATGCATATAGGATATATAATAATTTTAAAACATCAAAAAGTGACAATTTGCGGTTAGAAAAAGGTCATCAAAACACTTTTTAATGATTTGATTTAACATATGCATAGACCACCTCCTTGATATTTAACTTCAATTTCCCGAAATGAAAAGGATTTGAACAAAAACGATTATTTTACGATCATTTTTTGTAAATTTTTTTAAATTGAGATTGACATCTCTAAAATCTTCTAAAAAATCCAAATATCAAATAAAATAATATTATTAAAATTCCTCTCAATTTAAAAAATTTTATAAATTGAGACTTCAATCTCTAAAATCTTCTAAAAAATCCATATATCACAAAAACTCACAATATTATTTTTATTCTCAATTTCAAAATTTTTTTTGTACTGACTTTCTTTTTTCCTAACAGCAAGGCAGAAATTTGAAACGAAGTTTCAAATTTCTCAATCTTGCATTCTGGGCACGTAAGTGCCCAGAATGCTAAAAGGCGCGTAGCGCCGTCTCTGAATATCAAATTTATTATAATTATTAATTTATGAAATTTCAAATAAAATCGATCTGTTATAACACACTGGTGCATGACAGCCTTGTCATTCATTTCTATCGGCGCGCTCCGCGCGCCGATAGAAATGAACGTGTATATATATACAAACACCTGGACACATTTCAAAAAGCATTGTAGAATCTGATTTTATTTCTATATTTTATAAAATTAATATATGTTTGTATGGGAAATTCGGGAGATTCAAAACTCAAAAATTAAAACTCGATAATTTTAATATATCTTGATTCACATTTGTATGTAAATTAGTATCAACTTATTAACATTTATCAACTCCATGATTCAAATTTATTGATGTCAATAAAATTCATTTATATTATGAATATTAGACAATATATGGTATGTGTGTTCTGGTAACATTAAAATCTCATATACTGGCAATTTGGCACTTTTTGTCACTTTTCATGAAATTTCAGTTTTCCTAAACTTGATTTTAATAATTGTTTTAGAATGCTAATATAATGTATAATTTATTTATCCAATCAAAATTTAAAAAAGTTCAGTATTTGCCATTTTAGACTTCAAGCTCGCGACACATTAACCGCTTTTTTAAAAATTGAGACTGACATCTCTAAAATCTTCTAAAAAATCCAAATATCTAATAAAATCATATCATTAAAATTCCTCTCAATTTTAAAATTTTTTATAAATTGAGACTTAGATCTCTAATATCTTCTAAAAAATCCATATCTCACAAAAAAAACTAAGTTTTATTTTCACATTCAATTTCCCCAAAAAAATCTTTTTACCTAACAGCAAGGCAGAAATTTGAAACTTCGTTTCAAATTTCTCAAGCTTGCATTCTGGGCACTTACGTGCCCAGAATGCTAAAAGGCGCGTAGCGCCGTCACTGAAAATCAAATTTATTATAATAATTATTTTATTATAAATCGACCTATTATAACATACTGGTGCAATACGTCAATTTATTTCACCTCTAAATCCAAAAAAACTTCAAATGAGATTACATTACAGTCTTGTCTATTTATTTTATCTCCTTCTCTTGGCTGATTGAATTTAACTTTGCATCTCAACAAAACATACTATTCCTATCATTTTACAACTCAATTACGAGATATAACGGAAATGATTTCATCCGAATTTCAAAATCCTAGTAAATTTTACAATATGAGCTGATTGATTATTTTCAAACGGAAATTTATAATTGTTCTATTTGAATTGGATCAAAATCATTTCTGATATTTTTTTGTAAACCATTAGATTGACATTTTATCAAAATTTTTTATTGATGTTTCTCTTTGCCAAACCCGAGTTCGGTGAGTTTTTCGATTTGAAGCGCGCAAATAAGGCTTGTCAGGAAGCTGACCAGGCATACTCCAAACAGATGTCAAAAGCTTTGAGCCATCCACTTGAATTATGGTCAAGAACATTAGATTCTTCTCTTTTGCCCAAAATGGCCGAAATTTATAAATGCTCACAGCAAATTACAGCTACCATTGCAGAAAATGTTAAATCTACTGAATCTGTCTATGGCAATCTTCAAGATTTGACAGGACTTCGTGCGGAATTTCAACCAACGAAAGTTGCAAACCAAAAGATTCTAAAGCATGCTAAAGAAGCAGCTGCAAAAGTTGCTAAAACTGAAAAGGCATTAAATGATTTGCAAAAATCTAACGCATCTGCTGCTCAAATCGCTCGCGCTGAAGCTGAGCATCAGTCTGCCGTTGAAGCTGAAAGATCAGCAAGCTCAATTGCTCAAAGTTCCCAAAATGAATTCATTCAAAAATACAAAGACTACCAGCAGCGCTTTGTTTCTATCTTGGCTGCTTCCTATTGCGAAGCATCTACATTAAGAGCTAAAACTGCTTCATCACTTGCAGAAATTGGTGTCAAACTTGAAGGAATCGCTAATAGAATGAAAACAGAACCAGATGATGCCGCATTTGACGCACAGATTTTATCTGAAATGCAAAAACTAGAACCATTATTCAATGCAGACGCTGCACAAGAAGATGCTGCCGCTCCAGAGCAGTAACTATTAAAATGTTAGTATAATAAATAACTAAGTATTTTCACTCTCGAAATACAATATAACTGACTTTTAAACCATATAAAATCTATGATAAATAAATATATTTTAATAATTAATTCGTAAACACCTATTAAAGCTATCTTATCTATCAAATTTTTGCTATAAAGATGATAATTTATCGCTATGGTTTCCATTTTTGTAAATTGATTCTTATCAATGTCTTTGAAAGAAGAAAATGAAAAACTTCGAAATAAAATTCAACAACTAAGCTTGCAAAGAAATCAAGAAATTCTTGATTTGCAGCATCAATTTGCAGATAAATACAAATCATTGCAAAAACAATCTAATTCTGAACAAGCTCAAAAATTACGTGAAGAAAACGAGAAACTTCATCAACAAATTAAAGAACTTACAGAGAAAAGTAATAATTTGACTCGAGAAATTAAAGAACTCACTGATCAGCAAAATACAATCAAGAATTCAATTGAATCGCTAAGATCACAAATATCTAGGGTTAAATCCGGGAAATCAGATCCAATGGATGAATTTTCGCAATTTATTGAACCATTCGAAAACCAAATTAAAGAACTCACAGCAATACTGTCGCAGAAGCAGGCTGAAATAGAAAAACTTCAAAATACAGTTCATTTAGAATGTGACAAAAGAATACAATTGCAAAATGTGTTAGACAATACTTAATATCGATAGCAACACATTAAACATGCACGTTTATACATCTTTTCATACTCTGATTTACCAAATTTAATATATTTCAGAATATTTTATTAATTTTATGTTTGAAAATTCATGTATTCTAGTTAAAGATTCAAATACACTTTAGATCGCTAAAATTAGGCGGAATTGTATTCCATCAAACATATTTATTTGTTGTTTTTAACAATAAAAATTTATTAATCGCTAATTTACAATATAACAAAACAAAGTATATGTTATGACCATATACATCACTATTACATGATAATAGATATATAAAAAAATAAAGGCATAAAAAATAATTCTAAATTTCTATGAATTATAGATTTTTTTGGGATCAAATCTATAAAGAAATTGTGAGTGTAATAAAAGCCGTTAAAGAATGTGTAAATCTTGTGTTTGAATTAAATAATTGTATATTATTGCTGCTGATGATATAAAAAAGGGATATTTCCAGTTGCAGCTGCCATGTAAGGTTGATTTCCCATCATTGGTGCAAGTAAATTTTGTCCATAAATTGGACCTTGAACTGGTTGCATCATTGGCTGTATTGTCTGTGCCTGACTTATTTGTGGTGGTAAATTCTTTGGATCACTTGGATTTGGTACTTGATCAAAATTTTGACCTGGAACGATGAAAGCTTTAATACTTTGCAGTGACGAATCTACAATCTGTGCATAAAAGTGATTACTTTTTGATAAGTTAATAATTGCTTGTCCTAGATCATTCAGAGAAGCTTGCTCCATTAAAATCAAAAATGATCTCCCTTAAATAATAAATCAGACCCTTTTAATATTTTTTGTCAAATTGTCATTTTTCATTTCATAATGACTTTTCGATTCAACACAGAGTATTTTCCTCCAGAGGACAGTAAAGAAGTATTTGGATGCCTCCAAACTTCAAATATTCCGAGCAATGTTTCCTCAGAAACTTATGAATGGAAAAGATGTAAAAAATGCGAATGTTTGATGTTTCCTACAGAAGATAAAACAATGGAATGTCCAATATGCAATCCAACAGCAAAATATATATCGCAATCAATTAAAAAAGAAACAAATCCTGATGAAATTCACAAAATTTTCTATTTCATTTTCGATATTGACTTTCCGCTTGAAACTTCAACTGAAATGCTTAATTTATTTACTGAAAATTTACCTGAAAATGCAAAAGCCGTAGTTATGGCAATTTCTACAAATATTTATGTTTTGTATCAACATTATGGAGTTCCTCTCTTCGATAACATCGAAAATGACAAGCAGTTTACTCCTTCTTCATTTTATTTCCTTACAAAATCAGATATTTCTTCAATAATTCTTCCATCTCTTCCAGCTTTATATAATTTCGCTAAAGCTGATAACGAAATCGATATATTACTTCCTCTTTCAATTTCTAAGATGCAACTACCAGCAGATTATTGTCCACATTCAATTTTCTGTTTTACAAAGCGTGAAATCAAAACTATTTCAGCAGTTAGCGCTTCACATATCGGAAGTACAATTGCCTCCATGGGTGGCATCATAAACTTCGGCGCTGCTCAATCTTTCAAGAGATTATCCGCGATTTCGAAATTTTCTTTCGGAATTGTATTCCCGATATCCACATTCGTTCCTTCTACCATCAAAAAACTATTCACGGCATCAAAGCGCTTCACAACTTACTTCGTTCTACCAAGAGCTGTTGAAGCAACAAAAGTGACAGGCGGAGATGGAAGTGTCAGATTAACTCCGAATGTGAGCATTATTAACCTACTGAACTCGCGTGGCGCATCACTTAGATTCAATGTAGATTTCAGTGGTGATATTCCTGAGTCATTTTTGGTCGTAGAATGTACTGATTACGAAGGAAGTGCTTATTTAACACTCCACAAGTTCAAATCGCCGAAAGATGATGAAGAATTTGCTAAATCTCTCGACCCTGATATTACAAAAGAGATTGTAGCTAAAGGAGCCGCATCTGATATTTTGAGGATGGTATTTTCAGGAACGGAAGTTGCAACAGCCGTCAAAAAGACAAATACAGAGAAACTATTGGCAGGAACACCTGCAAATGGCGTTGGAGGAAAGCCAGATAAAGATACTCTTCAACTTTACTATTTGCTCCATAGAATGCCATGCAAAGATGCTCCACATGACGTGTGTAATGGAAAAGGCTATATTAATTATCCTTCTCTTTACATTTTATCTTCTGAGAAACCAAAAGAGGTTTTGGAGCAGAATGACAGCATAGAATGGCCAATGGAGCTCCACATATTTGAAGATGAGGCAGCCCTCAAGTTGTTATTAGCGAACTTACAGTCTAAATGAAAAATGAAATTTTCATCTATCTCTTTTATTGTAAAGCATTCAATAAATGTATATCTGTTAAAATTACTTTACATTTTATTCATTTTAATTGCATAATAAATAATAAATTTAAAAACTTTATTTTCATAGGGATTTAGTTGTTAAATTAATAGGAGTATCATACTTTTATCTTTATATCAAAAGAATAGCAGCATTTTTTTTGACAGTCTGGCGGTTTCTCGCTTGTTAAGACAATAAATTCAAAATTGAGAACTTTGGCAAAAATTTTCGTGAAATCTTTTTTGGAAATATATTTGATAATATTATAAATAATTATATTTCATAAATTTGAAAAATTGTGTCAAGTGTCTATCAAGATTGTGTGTGTTGATTTGAATGGTTTTAATGTTCAAATTTTTATTCAAGGCAATAATCAAGCACATCTGACTGTAATCATATTCTCAAACACCAGGCCTAAAGTATCAATGCGCAAAATTTTTACGACTTTTCATTCATAACGGAGCTCTTTAAAAAAGTCGTAAAATGTCAAAAATATTTTAGTTATTTATTTCATGTTTTTCTTTATTCTTCAACAAGTCTGTTCTATAACAATTGATTCATTTGGATCATATTCACAACGTGTTAATCAAAATCAAACTGAAATGCATTTTAACCCAAGTTTATTCAAAGACCAGAATTATGAAATATATTTAGTTTATTCAAATTTACAAAATGAAACATATATTAATAACAATACTGCAAACACAGTTTATTTTATACATGAAGATTTTAAGTTTAATATTAGCTGTCGATGTAAACAGTACATTATTAAATTCCATGTTTTTTCAGTCAACAAATCTTGCAATTATCTTGATTTTATTATCAATCCAACAGTAAGTCAATATCAATATCTACCATCCATTTTAGAAAAGAATAAAACTTATTGCGCACTTCTCTCTTCTGAAAAAGTTTTTTATTCTAAAATTATTAAAGATTCAAAATTCTCTGGTAATGTTATATATAGTTATGATTTAACAAAGAGGAGTAATTTAACTAAAAAATCTACAGCTTATCAGTGGTCAGATAGTTTAATTATTGAATTGTATTGTGAAGATAAAAATGAAAGGAGAAATAATGTTGACATACAAATTTTCGTTTCTCATTCTAATTCCAGTTCTATAAGCAAACTAATTAAACCTAGTTATTTCAATAGTGGAGGCAATAAAATCAATAGAAAAATTCTTTATGAAACACCAGATTATACAAAATTACATAGAAATGGTACGATTGTTGCTATTTCATTTCCATGTGGTTTGTTTGGATTGGGTATTTTAATATGCTTATATTATTGTTGTTGTGCCGATAGGTGCCATGAATGCTGTTGTGGTCCTACTTTCCATTTTACGAATAATGATGCTAGTTCTAGTGATAATGCATGTAGAACAATTACTGTTAGAGATCAAATAAGGCATACTTCAGTCACTGATTCAAATGGTAATTCAGTTTCTATTACAGTCCATGTACGTGGTATTTATGCACATTAAGATATCTTATAAAATTCGAATGTTTGAACCTGATATCAAATCATTTTGGGGAATTATGATTTTCGTCAATAAATTTATAATCTGATATCCTTTATTTTCTCAATTCCATATTTATTGTGTGTATTAACTTTTGATGAGGTTAGATCTTTGGTATGTTATTTAACCATAATATTTTGAGATATCAAAATCCTTTTCTCATATATTTCAAACAAGTCATCAAATAAATTAATTGCAATAATAGCTAGTGTTGCTTTAAAATCTCTTGATTTAATCTTTTTAAAAATTACCCAAAAATTGCAAGATTATCACTTTCATATGATTTGAGGCTATGAATTGCAAAATGTCGATAGGACTTAAGGAGCTCCGCAACCACTTTTCGTAAGAATTTGGGGATATGGAGATTTAGAGGTTTGTATTATCCAAAAATATTTTTATCCATCCACTCAAATAATTTCAATCTGAAATTAAGAATGAACTTACACCCAGACGACATTAATTCAAATTTCATATAATTGGCGTGAAACAACATAGAAAAATAACATTAAAGGTCATAACTTACGGAAATCACTCACTTTAGTCAAAATTTAGAAATAACACAATAGCAAACTGATAACAACATAGTAGTTTATACCAATTTATGTTAATTTTAATTAATTTTATTTTAAAAAATTCATTTTGAAAATTAAACAAATTTTTATTCAAAAGTAGAATGTATAAGCGATTGAAAATAGGTTGATAAAAATTTAATTCGCAACTATATAAAGCTAAATAAAAAAAAATTATCAAAAAACAGTTTCTTACAATTGTATCTGGTCATTGAAGTCTGTAGCCATTATTTCAGCTGCCTCAGACTTTGTTGAGTCCTTAAACGAGTCAATAGCGTAACGAAGGTTCTCATCGAAAACCATTGTTGCGCCAAGGTTCTCATCGTAGTAATTTGGAGCCGAGAACAATGTAACTACGTTCATATCTTCACCGAACGGGAACTTGTAGCCGTTAGGAACGACTTCGTGCGCTCTCAAAATCATTTCGAAGCCAAAAGTCTCCATGAAAGACTTTGCAGCCTCTCTACCGTAAGAAACCGATGTATTTCTGATTGTCGGGCCGTAGAACTGAACCTTGCTCGAAGGATCTGCCCATGTTAGGTCGTTGATAATTCCTTCTTTTGGCAGTTCTCTTGGCCTTGGGAAGTTCTGTATATCATCGAGACTTGTCATGGAAGGCGATGGTCCGCCGTGGACACAAAAAACTTTATCATTGATTATTGCGGCCAAAGGTAAGGAATCGAATGGTAACATGAATGGTTGATATGGAGCACCTTTACGTCTGCATTCATCTTTGAAACCGTATTGGCTTGAAATTAATTCGCACTCGTGATTTCCGCGAAGCATGTATAAATTCTCTGGAAAACGAAGCTTTAAAGCTAAAAGTAATGTGATAATATCGAGAGAATCCTCACCACGGTCAACATAATCGCCAAGGAATAAGTAGTTGACCTTGTCAGGGAAACCATATTTCTTGAATATACGTAAAAGATCGATATATCTACCATGAAGGTCAGCAACACATAAAATTGGAGCTTTAACGCGAAGAAGAGTTGGCTGAGATAAGAGTAATGATGAAGATGCTGCGCAAAGCCAATTAATATCTGCTTTTTCAAGTAAAGAACTGCATTTAACGTCATGAGGTGATAAAATACGACGAATAATGTCGTTTAAATTCGGTGGTTTCTTTATCTGTCCAATAGATTTTGGCATTTCTGGAGATGGAGCGAGCGTTACAGTAATATGGAGTGTATCTTTGTTAAACCAACCTCCACGCTCGAGTGTCTTGAAGCTAATCTTTGATTTAACGGTGTAAATCGGATCTGTAGTAATAAAACAGTAACAAATTGGAATATTAATGAAAGGACGAATCTTATTTGGATAGTGAATATTCAAATTACAGATAATATTACGCTGACCAAATACACGGCCGCATAAACGAAGTGTTGCTTGAAGCGGTTTAGCTGGATCGTGATCAATTGGCATTAATTCAAGTTGAAAAGTCATATCTTTGCACATAAGCTTTTCAATGATTGGGTCGCCATTAAATTGTGCTTTTTTAATATACCAGTGTTTAATTTCGAACGAATCTTGAACATTCATAATTTTTTTCCCTTCAAACTGACGCCGATAAAAAGTGATAATTTTAAAATTCAGAAGTTTACAATTTTTAAACTTTCGTTCCGTTTCCCAACAATTATCAATTTATAGCGATCAATTTTGGTAAAGATAATATTTATATTGTGATATAAATCCAAATACTAATACATTTTGAACTCCTTGAATATTATAATATTATAAAAATTGCATAAAATAACATTGGATTTCTCAGCAATAGAGCCTTATTTTATCCAAATTAGAGCTAAAGTATAGCTCATGAAGTGAATTCGAACAACTAAAATCAATCATTACAGAAAAAGGTTTCCTTTTCTCATATGTTGACAAATAGTTATGATATATTGAAATATTTAATAAGTAATTTGTGATAAAAACTCAAACGCTTCGTATGATTTTCCAGGATTCAGAACTATTCTGAGTTAAAAAGTAAAATTCTGGACGTTTTACTTTACCCAAACAATTGTCTAATGATCAGTATTTAAAACAGCTAAAGTTATAATATCATGAGTCGATTGAAAGGAAGAAAAGTGTCATAAATCATTGTAAAATTTTTGTCACTTTTTTACTGAGATGCTCGCATCTTTTGCTGACCGTCTTGACAAAATGAAAATCATTCTTGGCTCACAGAGCCCTCGCCGTCGTGAACTTCTTTCAGGAATTTTCAAGAAATTCGAAGTTATTCCATCCGAATTTGATGAATCAACCATCAATAAGTTCTCTTTCCCAGATCCAAGAGATTTTGTCAAGGTTCAATCGCAAAAGAAGGCCGAGGAACTTGCAAATCGTATTGGTGATGCTGATATTGTAATCACAGCAGATACAATTGTTGCTATCGATGGAAAGATCCTTGGCAAGCCGCATACTCATGAAGTTGCTTACCAAATGATCAGCGAACTCAATGGTCGTCCACACCAAGTTATCACTGGCGTTCATGTTGTATTTCCAAAACTTAAGAAGTCACTCTCATTCACAGAAACAACACAAGTTATCTTCGACAAGCTTCCAGAAGCTGCTGTCAAAGCTTACGCTGATTCAGACGACCCACTTGATAAGGCAGGCGCTTACGGTATTCAATCAGGAGCTATGTCCCTCATCAAGAAGATCGATGGCGACTACTTCAATGTTGTCGGTCTCCCAGTTAACCACCTTGCCAGAGAAATTTACAATGTTCTTGCTGAGACAGCTTGAACTCATATATAAAGAACTTTAATATAGAATAAAACTTCTTTCATTTCTTTCTTAACTCGAACTCTTTGTTTTAATATCGAATTCCATTTTTTTCTTTCACTTTCATTCTTTAAGAGGCTAAAAATGAATCGTACATTGCATCAATTATTTCAATGATTAACGGTATACGCCTAGAAACAGAATTTTTTTATTAATTATTTATATTTTGCAGCGTATTTGAGAATAATTTAATGAAAGAGGTTCAGTTCTGAAGATGACTCTTCTAAATAAATAACTGATGCCTATAAATTTGTATTACATATCGATTTATTCGATATAACCGAAGTCAAATTAGAATATCGTTTAAACTAATCGTGATGTTTCATGCTGAACATTAATTGTGTCTACTGTGAATGTGTCATGGCTTGATTTTGAAGTACACTCTTAAGGGTATAGTCCACTAAAAATTTTTAAGTTTTGACAATGAAAATAAGCTCTGTGACCATGTAAATATATATCTATGCAAAACGAGAGGTTATGCCATAATTTTTTTTAGTTATCAAATTTTCCTTTTTTTGAGAGAAGTCTCTCAATAATTTGAGAAGAATCTTTGATATAAAGAGATACACATTTGTAGAACGAAGTAAGTGTTTTCCAAACATTTTATATGTTCATCCTGTATAACAATATAAAGCTGCATAGTGCCATCTTGTGCGTTTGCTATTTTATGTACTTTTCATTGAGATAATCCCTCTTCTCGGGTGATTTTAACAGTCAACTCAATTTTAAAATAAAGATTTCATCAAAATGATTTCGAAATTCGGATATTGATTATATAAATAGCACTGTTAACATATTTTGGATGAGTAAAAAATACCTTGTTTTGTATGCATTTAGTACACCTTTATTTTTGATTAAAACTATAAAATTTTTATTCCTTATATAATAAATAGTATATGTTACATAAACATGAAATTCAATAGCATTCAATTTTGGATTTTTTAGATTTGGTAAATTTTAGAAGAAATAAAATCAGCAATCAAAATAAAGAAACTTTTTTTGTATCTTCTATGATTACCTTTTGGTACTAAATTTTGCATTAATAAGTAAATTATCTGTATTATTCTGTGAGCACAAGCCCTCAGTTATGCTGGTAGTGAATGATGAATCGTCATTTTGCGAAGAGAACGCGATTATTAAGGTAATTTTGAGAATTGTCTTGAATTATTTAAAATTAAAGTTAATTGAATAGGTAGGATAACTAGCCTTTGCTAAATTTGTATAATTTGACCTTATTCTAGTTGGATCTGAGAATATTTTGCTGAAATAATAAATTATATCGCCGATTTATGAAAATTTCTCTGATGGGACCGACTCGCTGAAACGTAATTAATGTGTTAATGATAACTTGTCTGAATTTCATCAAATTTTTTTTCGAAATCCAAAAAATCACAAACACAAAGCATCAAAATTAGATTTGCATTTAAGGTTTTCATTTTTTTTTGGAAAATATAAAAAATATATTTTTCCCCAATAAAGTTTATTTTTTACTTTTGAGAGGAATAGAAACGTTATTTTGGAATTTTGAAACGACAGAAATGTTCCATTTTTAATGTAGATTCTAAAATGGGGTCAAATTTTTGATTGAACCGTTATCCATTGAAAAACCTCGATTTTAAAATGTTATTCCAAAATATTCATCTAATGATATAGTATATATTTATTAATTATTACTTTTTATTCAATTTTCACTTTTGGCGGGATTTCATTTTTTTGTTGTTGTATGGGCCATATTGCCCAAAAACGGAAAACAAAGGCAATGCATAACATTTTACTCCACGAACGTCGTCGACTCTCAGCGCGACAGATGCTTGGTGCTTGCATAATGACCGGAATGCCATATACAAAAGGTGCTCGCTTTCTTTCTCTTTGTGGAACTAAGCCCCCTGTGAAGAGTGGTGTCATGAGACAACAGAGATTTTGTGACGATAAGATTAGAAGACTTAAAAGTATTTCCCTAATGCTGTCGAGAAAGTCCTTCAGTGGTTACTTATCCATTGATGCAAGATGGACGCACAGGCGAAACTCGCCAAGTTGTACAGTAACTGCGCTCGATGCTGTCACAAAAAGAGTTCTTGCATGCGTGAACATCAACCATATTGGTGGAAACAGACAGCATGCTCAGTATTCCGGAGCTTCCAACAATATGGAAAGTGCTGGAACTCGAATCATCTTGAAGCAATTAAAGAAATACAATATCTTGAAAGATGTTAAAGAGATTATTAAAGACCGAGATAACAAAAGTGTCTCTGTCTTTAAAGAATTTGGCGTCTCTCATCTTGAAAGATTCGATCCAGGTCATGTATCAAAAAATATCTCAAAAGATTTTACAAAGTTCTCAGCTTCTCATAAGACAGTTGAAGTTTTCAACGACAAGACTCAGAAGATTGAAAAAATAGAGAGACCTTTCTGGGGTCTGAATGCAAGCCTAAGTATGTGGCTTTGGTCATGTTTTGCCGAAAAAAAAAATTGACGTACGAAAATGATGTGAGAATTGTGTCTACCATTACGTAGGCAATCATTCTTTTTGCGAACCGCACAATTACAAATGCTTTGAATGGCAAAAAGGTGTCAATTCGATCCAACTTCAATTCATGCTCTATGACTGGGTTCACAAATGGACACCCATAGTTTCCAAAGTTTCTTCCATTGGATCTACCTGCATGAATGAAGCGTTTAACTCCAAAATTGCATGCTATTTGGACAAATCAAGAGCCTGGAAGAACATTAACATTAGAGTTAACGTTGCAATCTTAGAATGGAATGATCCAGAGCATTTTCTCGGAGATATACAAAAAGCATTACATCTTCCCCCTTCCAGAAGATTGTGTCAAATCATTTGAAGAGAATTGTTACTCCAAAATGATATTGAAACAAAAAACTGTTACAAAAGGTTCTAAAAAACAGAACAAATACAAAAAATCCATTCAGAGTGTACCAGGAGGAGATTATCAAGTTTTCAAGTCCGAATGGGAATCAGAAGACGAAGACATTGATGACTTTGATTAACGAAAATTACATTTTATTTATTGTTTTTGTTTTTAATTAAATTATTATTATGCTCATTTTCTTATTTTGATTTTTTCTCATTATGATATAAATAATTTATTAATGCATTTATCCAATAATTATGCTATGATATTTTTATGCCTTATTTCATTTCTCTTATATTTGATAATCTGGTAAAATATAGTTCAGACTATAATCATTTTAGATTATTGATATATTTATATAGGTTAGAATAAAATTAGTTTCATTTTCTACTTTTATTTTGAATTAATAATTTATAATATCAAATATTATGGCGTAACCTCTCCTTTAAAATATAGATATATATAGGCCTATAGAGTTTATTGGCACTCTCAAAACTCTAGAATTTTGAGTTTACTATACCCTTAACCGATATCTAATCTTTTTTGATCGACTCGAAAATCATGACATATTTCAAACACTCATTCAAATGAAAGAATTGTGATATAAAAAAATTAAATTGGTCAATTCAATTTTTACAATCATAGTTTTTTTCCCCACTGTAAACTATTCAATTCAAATGTTAAGTTGTCTTTCTCGCGCTAACTCATTCTCGAGACACTTTGAAATCACAATTGATGGAAAGAAATATGAAGCTTTCCAAGGAGAAACCATTCAGAATGTTTGCTCAAGGAATCACATTCAAGTTCCTCGTGCTTGTCATTCATACTACTACAAAGGTGACGAATGCGGCCTTTGCAAGGTTCTCGTCAACGGTACTTCACTCCAAAATGCCTGCAAGACACTAGTTTACAAAGGTCTTGATGTTAAAACAAGATCTCCAGAAGTTATCAAGAACTTCCCAGAAGCCATGAAAAAATTCAAAGAATTTGATGACTTCAAGCTCATCGGAAGTGATATTATGCCTCATGTTACAGCTACTCTCAACAATATGGAACAATGCATGGCCAATCCTGACAAACCATCAAATCTGATCGACGATACAGCTATTGGTCTCAAGATCGATCCTCACAAATGCACAAAATGCAACAAATGCGTTCCTATCTGCCCAAGTAAGTCGTTAGTCTTAGCTCCTTACATCCAAGCATTCGGAAACAACGGCCTCGTCCACGCCTTCTGCAATAACTGCGGAAAATGTGCCGAAGTCTGCGATAGCAAAGCAATTACTTACACAAACCACGTTACAGAGCTTGGCGACGTTCTTGCCATCAAGGACATGAAGAAGGTCGCTATCATTGACCTCTCCGTCTGCATCAACCTTGAGAGAATGCTTAAATTACCTCGTGGCTCTCTTACAGTTACTAAATTAGGTACAGCCTTGCTCAAAGGCGGCTTTGATTTAGTTTTCGATGCAGCCATCGGTAGCGATATCGCTATTCTCGAAGAAGCCCAAATTCTTGCAAATCATGTCATGGACAGAGTTCCATTAGTTTCCGCCTGGTGCCTATCATCATACCAAACAATCCTTACTCATATGCCAGAAGCACAAAAGATTCTTTCATCAGTTATCTCTCCACCTCTTATTTCAGGTTTCCTCACTAAATCGGCGCCTAAAACATTATCCGTTTCATTTACGAACTGCATTGCTCACAAGGTAGAGCTCGCCCATTACAATGGCTCTCATCTCCAGTACAATAATATGGCTCTTTCTGTTGAAGAACTGGCCAACTTCCTCGAGCAAAAGAAGATAGACCTCAAGACAATACAGGACAAGCCACACCAAGCCGCTGCTTCCCGTGCAGGAATTTTATCTTCAACTGCAGAAGGATGGACTGACGCGATCATCGAAGTATTCACGAGAAAACACTTGAATATGACAGAAGTCAAGAAAGACATCGAAATATTCTCAAATCTCGCAAAAATTATCAAGATCGAAATTAAACCAGGTACAACAATGAGATTCGGTATCGCATACGGACTCCAGGGACTTCAGCAATTACTCTCCAGACCTTACCCAGACTTACTTTACATCTGCGTCGCTGAATGCGAAGGTGGATGTCTTAATGGCATTTGCGGCTCGAAAGGCGATAAATTACTTAAAGAGAATATCCTCAAAGACCACGCCCACAAATCTCCATTCAAGTCTCCGCTTGATAATCCTTTAATTCAGAGACTTTACAAACTTGACTTCGCAAAGCCTGAAGATGTATTCCTTTGGATTCACAATGGACCATTTGTCCCTCCGAAATCCCTCTTTGCTCAGCCAAACCAGCAAAATCAACAAAATCAGCCAAATCAGCAGCAGAAACCACAGCAACAACCACCAAAACAGCCTGTTCAGCAGCAGCCACAGCCACAAAGACAACAACCAGCTCAACAACCAAGAAATCCAATGTCACAACAACAAATTCCTCGCAGCAGCAAATTAATTATGCCAAACTCACAACCAACAAAACTTATTCGCTAAATACTGATTTTGTTACTTAAAATTTGTAACAAATAAAAAGAAAATATCTCATTTACTAGAATAAAAAAGTTTTAAGTATGTTTGATTTAATAATAATGATTTACATATACATATTATAATATTCTCTTTTGAAATTTGTATAAAAATTATTTTAATTTCTTCATATTATTAAATAAGTCTTTTTCATAAAAGATATAATTATGATTCTTACCTCAGAGTGGTAAAACGCCACAATATTGAAGAACATATTGATATGAGTTATATCTTCACTTTAGATTCATGATTTATAATCGGATAACATGGATAATTGTTTGAATGATTAGATATTAACTACTCAACATATGGATTTATTATGTTTCCATTAGATACTTATTTTCTTAAACTCTTGTATCAATAATATAGTAAATAAACTTGTTAAAAATATTCTTATTATTTTTGTTTGCTGCAAGTTTAAGATGAGTTTCTCCTATCGGGTCTTTTTCAGAAAAAGGAGAGTCAAATTATAAACAGCAACTTACCATAGTATATTATGATTGAATCCTTCTAATAATATAATTATTTTAAAGAGAAGTTTATTTTGCATTTTATACAGTAATTGCAGAATAAAGATGATTCATTATATAAGAATAAATACTGCTATTAGAAGAATATTGAAGTTCATCACAATTTTATATGGTATTGAAGGGCAGATGTTTTCATATTCAATATTATTCATATTCATATCAATTAGATCAATTGAAATATCAGGAATTTCATTTGAAATTAATAATGTTCCATTTCCAAAATAATCTCTTCGAGGTTCTACACATGAATTTTGAATAGAAATATAATCTGATGAATTATATATTTGATAAATATTTACAGCAATTTGGTTTGACTTCATGCAGCAGTAACTCAAATTTAGACAAAGATATTTAGTAAATAGCAAATATGTGTCTAAAACATTATTAACTATATTCGAAAAAGTAAGATATGCAACATTGGAGGACGTGTTTGAATTAAATCTCATGAAGACATCAAATGTTTGATTGTTTTCGATTACAGATATATAACTCGTAGAAGTTATTGGGGATGATGAATTCATATAGAATCCAACCCATTCGTATCCTTGATTATATGATATATTTGAATTATATAGTTGCGTATTCCCTCCATTTAAATAAATTGTTCCGATGTTATTTGTGGATTGAATTGATCTATCTGGACCGCAATTTGTGACTGAAGAAAATAAAAGAAAATTTTTAGATGTAAAATCTTTGGTAACATCAGAATAGAAACTATTTCCATAATGGCGTTTTGAAAAAGATTGAAAATATGAAATTTTGCTTTGAACTATTTGACCTTTAGATGCGTATTCTAAAGAGCCTGCATTCGTGCTGGATATGCATTGAAAGAATGATGAGGTATCAATAAGAACTTTAGAATCATCATGCATGTCGGAAAATATGACTGATGTTCCAATCGTAATCTTACGAAAACTACAATGTGTAACATAATAACTTTCAGATACAACCTTAAGTAATGCTCTCTTATATGCATACGATTTCCCTTCAAAAAATTCTGACCATTCTTTATGAATGATCTCTTTTCGAATTTCTAACAAAAAAGTACGTTTAATATTAAAAATTTACATAAGGTTAAAACCGCTTTGAAAATACTCAATGAAGGCTATTTCGGATTTAAATTTTTAGATAAATTTACATGTTATTTGCGTAGAAATCACTTTATAAATGAGAGAATATTACATCTCTTGCTGATTCTTTTTATTTTCATAATACATCTTTACATAAGGTTAAAATCGATCTGAAAGTATTCACCGACTGAGAATTCGAATATGAAAATTTAAATAAATTTCCATGCTCGCTAACTGATTTTTCAATTCAAAAAGGTAATTGTTGTGTCAATTATACAAATTTTACAACAGGATATTCTGCCAATATTTCAATTCAGTTGTAAGAGCACCTTGAAAAGATTGACTCGTCTTGCAAGAATTTAAGAACCTATTTCAAGAATCTCAAATTTTTTCATTTAATTTGACTTGTCGATTTGAAGATTTCTAATTTAGGTGAATTCATTTCTTTGAAGAATTTCAACTATGTGTTGTTTGTTAAGAAGTACTGCAAACTCAAGAGGAGTTTGATCATAATTGTTTTTAACATTTTTCTCTATATTTGGTTGTGCACAAAGATATTCACAGATTTCTTCTTGACTATAATTAATAGCATCATGTAGAGGTGTAAAATCATCATCTCCTTTATCATTGATATCTATGAAATTAAGAGCAAATTTTACACCTTCCAAATCTCCTTTCATGCAAAAATAATGTAGAATTGTTCGTTTAGAATCACATCTACTTCTTATATCTGCACCATTGTTAAATAAATTCTTAACAAGGGATAGATTATTTCGGCATGCAGCTTCAAGAATCATATTATATCCACCATAATCACGAACGTCACTATATTTTTCTTTAACTGCAATTTTAATTGTTAATATATCATCTTCGCTTGATGCCTGCTCAAGTACTTCATATATCCTCTCATAATCATCTTTTGTTTTTTCAAGGTTTTTCAATTGTTGGATCCTATCAACATCAATGAAAAATGAATGAGAAATTTCTAGTTTTCGTGGAATTGGGGTGCGATGAATTAGCGCTTGTTCAAAGACTTGATTCGTGACAGATTCTAGATTATGTTCTTCTGCATATTTTGAAATATTTTCAATTACTTTTTTGCTGCAAAGCTCAACTCTTATATGATTTAACAAACAAAAGAAAGAGTTACCAAATTCACTTAATGATATAATTGTTTGAACCAATGAATCCTCTGATAATATGGTAAGAGATTTTGACATCAATGTTCGCTCTAAAAAGTCATATCCATACCTTTGGATTGTTTTGATTTTATATTCTTCATCGAGAATACTCATTTTTGATGCAAAAAATGAAATACATTCTTCTATCTTGGCATTGTCATTCTCGATTAAAGCGCAATCATAGATATCACAAAAGTTTTCTTCATTAATATCTTGATATGATTGTGTAAAGTTGCAAAATATTTTGATAAGATATTCAATAAATAATTTTTTTCCGATTTCATAAAGATCTCTATTATGTTCTAAATCGTTTTCAAATTTGAGGATTCCTTTATTTATAAAGTCTGAGACGATATCAATTGTATTGGTGCATGCTAATTTAACATATATATTCACTGATGTTATCGTGTTATCTCGTAAATATTCATCATGAATATATCTTGAGATCATAATTAGGGCAATCCTTGAGGATTTTATGATTTTGCCATTAATATTGATCCACATCATTTCGCTATCTTTAATATCACTAATTCTCGCGATCTCTGGGTAATTAAACGTGATGATATCCATAAATTCAAATGCTTGGATTTTATAAAAATTGGATACATTCACAAAAGTGGTGTAATTTTTGTAAATTTATCAATTAGGAGTAAGAAATTCAATTGCTACTACTCAGATCCAGATGTCTTCTCTTAACCATATTTTAGACTTTTTACTTCTTCCTCAATTCTGGTTCTTTTTTCCTAATGATGACTGTCAAATTTCTTGTTTTGAAAGTTATGGAAACCTTATGGAAAAGAAATATCTTGGGATTACATGAAAAAAGACCTTCTATATCAGTACAGAAGATTATCGATGAAAAAATATTTATGTATTATTCGGCAAAATATGATTTCTTACGTCTAAGAAAAAAGTGAAAAACAAGACTGTAACAGAGTTTAATATAAAAGTAACAGAGTAAGATGTCTAATCTGCTTTATGAGATACCAATTTTAAAACGTGTTTTGTACGATATGCTGATTAGGATAAAATTAATAGAGCGGAATACCAAATACAAGTATAATCTTGGATTTAGAAAGCCTTAAAATTGATGTTAATTAGGATAAAAATGTTTGGCTACATTAGGGGAAAATCTCATTATTTTTGTCACTTTTTTAAAATGGATTTAAATAGTAAATCAGAAGTTCTAAAGAAGGCATCTGAAGTCTATCAGCAAGAAAAAGCTCAGTTAGACAAGTTAACATTAGAAAATAAAAAACTTCGTTCACTTCTTGAAATGCAAAATCAAATGATTTCAAATCAGCAAGAATTAATTCACCAAGTAGTTCAAGAAACTCGCAAATATATAGAAATTGAGAAAGAACGTCATGATATTCAGGCAAAGATTAAGCAAGAGACAGAAAATCTTAATTCAGCGATTAAAGACTCTGAAGAAGTTTTGAAAGTAGTAAATGAAGATATGCCTGAAATTTCAAAATCTAAAGAAGATACTATTCATGCATTAAGACACATTAATTTACTCAAAGGAATTGAAACAATTCAAACTCTAATATTCAACTTATCCGAAAAGGCTATGAATGAGCACAAGACTGTAATCGATAAATCAGATATCTGCGAATTAATTCTTTCAATTAATGAAGTTATTGACATTGCTGTTCAATCTGGAGCAGCAACTGAGTCTGAAGATCAAACTATAGCTAGACATGCTTTGATTATAGGTGTACTCAATGGAAAAAGGCCAGTAGAAGAATAATTTTATTTAATTTATATAAAATCATTTGTATGTATTTTCTATCGTTAAAAGCATATTAGTTTATTCAATTTACGAATAATTTTGAGGCTTTTGAGTATATAAAAAGTTATGATATATCAAATTCAAATTTGGCAAGCTAGAATAGTGATGAGTCACTTAGAAATATCGTTTTTATTGTTAGAATAAACAATTATTTCACTGATTTCATATTAATGAGTAATATAGCCGGAAAATAACAAATTTGGGGAATTTTTCAGCTTATGAGTTTTGTGCGGCAGGGTACACATTCATCCTTGGTAAATTACTGGCTTGAATGTTCAATTTTGAATACTTATTTTCAGCTAGAGACTGTTCTAAAGACATCTAAAGCAAAATACCTCCAAAATTGAGCATAAAAGGTTTGCCAGTAAAATATTGCTTATTTTGCAGCAAATTTAATAATTCAATTGTTCTAAATTTTATTCATTTGCCAAAATTTACTAAAAAAAATTAATAATTAAAAACTCTAAATATATATAAATAATTTATTTCTCTATATCCAAACCGATTTGTCAAGATTTCCAAGCCAATTGGATGAAGTTTGCTGAGCTGTTGGTTTTGCTTTAGATGCCTTTAGAGCGGTCTCCAGATTGAATGATTCGTACTCAGGAGGCAAAACTGCTTGGCCAATCGTTCTTGCTGCTTCTGCAACAGATGAAACTGAAGAATGCTTGAGAGCAATCACTTCCCATAGTGTTTGTGGTGTAACATCTGAAATTTCTGAGTCAACATTTGCAATTTGAGTATCTTTTGGAGTCATTAAACTCATTACGTTCTCGTGTGCACGCGCAAGGCTCTGAATAACACTAAGGATATCAAGTTGTACGTCTGGAGCAACGTGCAGAAGCATTCTGGAGAGTTTCACGGCAAATGCGATCTGTGTTTGAGCTGGGATCGAATGTGATGTAACAGTTCGGCCAAGAGTATTGAAAAATGTGGCTCTGCCGGGAATTGAAAGTGATTCTGGTGAAATTGCGTGAAATACAACGTCATAAAATTCACTGTAATCAACGCTACGATTTACAGCAACGTCTACGATGTATGGGATTGCGAGTGATGCTGTAATTGGATCGCTTTTCATCTTTTTCTCGAGATAATCATATAAAATCAGTTTTTCATCAACTCTGTTAGTAATATTGCTGAAATGTCGAAGAATATTATGTGTTTGTTCGGTTGTTATGCTTTTACCAATAACGGCAAAGAATAATTCTGTAAAAATATGAGATGGATTTGGAGTACCTAATGGTGTGGTTAAAATTCCTATTGAAAAGTCTAAATTATCTTCTATTTTTTCAATAGCAAGTTGATAGATTGCATTTTGCAGTTCGATTTCGCCTAAAACTTCATTTTCGAGATTTGGTCCATATTTGTAATATAATGCAACTAGGGCGTCTTTTGGAGTTTTTAATTCATCTGCTATGTATAATTCTGCAATTACATCAAACATTTTTTGAGGCTGTTCAATTTCGTTAGTTTTAACAAAATCTAGGAATTTGGCGTACCTAAAATGTATCCATTGATAAATTTGCGATGCTGTTACTGTTTCATATTTCTTTGTTTCAGTAAAAGGAAGAAATCCTTCTTTTAATTTCGCAAGAAAGAAATCTTTGAGCTCATTTAACGAACTTTCTGAATTTTTATCATTGGATGTGGCTGCTTCAAGGACTTTGTCTAGGTTTTTGGCCCAAAGTTCTCCCTTTAAACTCATCACAACGATAAAAGATTTTGTCTTTGTAAACACAAAAGTGACGAAAAATATTGAAATTAAAATAGAATATTTTTCTTTGATATTTATATTTCAAAAGGGAGGGTTTCTTTACCAGCAGCAATGACATGGACCAAAATTGTGCCATTATGCTCAGAATGCGAAAAGTATAATAACTTCCCTTTGATTTCGAGATTTATCTTAATATTTTACTTGCTAATGCAAATGCTTTATTGTATTAGGAGAATAAAGCGAAAAAATATAATAAAATTCTATATTTTTTGAGACCTTGTTTCACTTTTCCTCGGAAATATATACTCTAGTAAAAGCAGTTCATACTCAATATATACTCTAGTAAAAGCAGTTGGAAGGAATTTTCCAATCAAAATTTATATAGGAGATTGTTTATTTTGAATTGCTTGAAATAAGGATTTCTGTTAATTCTTTGTAATTATTCAAGATAGCAATTTGAAGAAGTGTCTGTCCATCTTTGTCTTTAGCATTGATATTTGCACCATTTGAAATAAGGATTTTTGCTAATTCTTTGCGATTGAGCTGGACTACTGAATGGAGAGGTGTCTGTCCATCTTTGTCTTTAGCATTGATATCTGCATCATTTGAAATAAGGATTTCTACTAATTCTTTGCGATTGACCGCGGTTGCCCAATGAAGAGGAGTAAATCCATAATTGTCTTTAGCATTGATATCTGCACCATTTGAAATAAGGAATTCTGCTAATTCTTTGCGATTGAGATCGACTGCTGAATAGAGAGGTGTATGATCATTTTTGTCTTTAGCATCGATATCTGCACCATTTGAAATAAGGATTTCTACTATTTCTTTGTAATTATGCGCGACAGCACAATGAAGAGGGGTATGTCCATATTTGTCTTTAATATTGATATTTGCGCCTTTTGAAATAAGGATTTCTATTATTTCTTTGCGATTTTCACTGACTGCATAATGAAAAATAGCATTTAAATCTGCACCATTCGAAATAAGGATTTTTGCCGTTTCTATGTGATTATTCTTAATTGCATAATGAAGAGGGGTATTTCCATCACTATCTTTAGTGTTTGCATTTGCTCCTTTTGAAATAAGGATTTCTGCTGCTTTGTAGCGATTGAACCTAGCTACCAAATGAAGAATGGTCTGTCCATTTTCGTAAGAAGCACTGATATCTGCACCATTTGATAAAAGTATTTCTATTACTTCTTTGCTATTACTCATGGCTGCAATATAAAGAGGAGTAAATCGAAGCATGATTTTAGCATTGATATCTGCACCGTTTGAAATAAGGATTTCTGTAATTTCTTTGCAATTGAAATCAGCTGCACAATAAAGAGGAGTCCATCCAAATGCATCTTTAGCATTGATATTTGCACCATTTGAAATAAAATATTCAACAAGTGATGAAAGACAGAAATAAGGAGAACAAACAAAGCAATTGTTGATGTCATTTGTTTGATCCAAATAAACAAAAATGCTTGAAGATTTTTGTAGAGAGAGCATAATCGAATATTAATTTTTATGTTGTGTTCATTCATCAAAAAAGTTACAAAATCAATATTGTGTGATATAATTGCATATTCCATACATTCATCACCTGGTTTTTGCACTTTCAAGCATTCATTCATAATGTCTTGATTTCCACCCAAAAACGAAAAATTAAGACAGTTTTTGGTGATTTCTGATTGAAATTTTGTTCTTAAGAACTTAAAACAATCAACAGATCCATGATAACAACATAATTCAAGTAACGATATTTCATCTAATTTTGGATATAATTTACTTTTTATTTTTTGATTTTTATCAAAACCTTCTCTTTCTGTAAATATTATCAATGATATTTTGTCATCATCCATAATAGATCTGTAAATTGTTTTTTCGTCGTGAATATCAGATGAATAATGAGAGTTTTCATATTTATTAAATTTTCTTTCACATTTTTTGTTCAAAACTATATTGTACTCTTTATAGAAAAGGTAATTAAAAACATTTTTGATGTTGTCTACCTGCTTTAGATGGTATTCGTCAACAATTTGTTTGGCTATTGATAAATATGACTTCATATAGCAATTGTTATAAATTGAAAGAACAGATATATCATTAATGATTTTGTCAGGCGGAATATGATAAATGTCGATCAGTATTTGTTTGATATTTTTGTAAATTGCGTTTAATTTTTCTTCATCTTTTGTTTTCAGCCTGTATAAAGCACTGTAGACATCACTGTATCCTGTATAAATCTCCACAAATTTATCATAATGAGGATGATTAAGTTTTTCCTCCGACATAAAACAAGTTTAGTTTACAACTATTCAAATACTTTTTCCCTATGATAGAATTGATATTTTTATGAAAAAACGTAAATTTAGCATACATTCATTATATTCTATCTTTTACCGTTTTGAAATCTAAAAAAGGCCTCAGGAAGAAGTCTCAAGAAGTAAATAACGTTATTTATTCACAAGCAGTCCAATGTTTCGAAATTTTTTATTAGATCATTTAATATTTATAAGCATCTTAGTGCTGTACGTCAACAAAATATTGTTGAAAATTTTTTTTGGAAGTGTAATCTTTTTTTAATGCAAGAAAAATGCTCATTTAGCTTTCCAGCATGCTTATCAATATTATATACAGCAGTAGGTGTTATTGCTCTTGCGTTATCTATGCGATTGTTTCCACATAAAGAGACTGTAATTGATAAAATTCCATTTTACAATTGGAATGACACAAAATGGAAATCAGGAAATACATTTGATGAGTTAGGATCAATGCAGAATTATGAAGTTAAATTTCATGGAAAATTTGAAGATTATGTTGTATATTCTTATAAAGTACCACTTCAAGAAACAACTCCTCGATATACAATAATAAAAGATGCATACCTTGGTCCTGATGGTAGAATCTACAAAGATTGGTGTGGATTTCCTCAGGAACATCGATTTATTACCTTCGATTCAGTAAATTACTCAACAAAACCTACACGTAATATCAGATATTTCGACTCTGCAATTGCATTCCCGATATATGATATACTTTCAGAGCCTTGCATTTATACTTTACTATTTCCGATATTAAATTCGGTTCCCACATCCGAAATCCAGGGGCGACGATTTTTCATTAACAGATATATTAGTGATATCGAGCTAATACTTCCAAAATTCGGAATGAATTTTACACATCAAGTTTTTTCGCAATTTGGATGGGTCCATGCCAAAGATCTCCTTGTTCTAGAACCACCTCAAGATGATTTCCTAATTGACAACACATTCAGGGCTTTCAGCGAAAAAATTAAAAGTCATAAACCTGGCGAGTTGTTTAACCAAAACAAAATAGCTCTAAACGTTGAAGGTGATGATCCTCTTAACAAAATGCATGATATTTACTCAACATTGAAATCATCTTCAGATAAATTTGAAAACGTTTCAGTTCCAATACATATGCTCGAAAGAATGGATATATTTAGAGATTTTGGAGTTTTTGTATCATTCAATTCTGACAATCTCCATTTACTTCAGTTTATGAAACCAAATTCTCTTGCAATCATTATCCAATCGCCAGATAATTTCTTGAAATACATTCCTCTCGCTAGAGCAGCAGGTGTTCGGGTCCATTGTATTTCTTATGATGAAGTTGATATTGCTTCAACAATTATCCAAATTTTGAAGGATGAGAATGTTATTTAACGTTTCTCATATAATATACATCCTCATGTTATTATATAAACGAATCTATTTATGATATTTACTCATTATAGTATAAAACTTTTTTTAATTATATCTATTTTTATATCTATCCTAAATACAAATCATAGTATTCTCAAATTATTACTTAGAACATTATGTTAGTAATTCTTATACAATTTCATTTTAAAAATCTACCAAATGTTTTATGAGGTCTAATGTTTAGCATTTGTCCTATATATACAAACGTTTCTGAGATTCATCTCAGCAATTAATCAAAAATATTCCCTCAATTGGAAATTTAACTTTGAAAACAGCTGACCATGATTATGTATACTTTATTTAAAACATACATATGATGAAATATAAATATATATACTTTATAATACATCTATGACTTGATTTTCTAAAATCAAACTTAATTATTTTTGATAAAGGTTAAATAATTAAAACCAATTTGAACGAATCAACACATAGAACTTATTCTCCTTTAACTTTGACCATTGCAGTAACAGCGCAAGCAAATCCTATGTAGATAGAAAGAGGAGCATCTATATCAAGAAGGAATTCATCATCATGAATTTGGCAAACAGATAGACAGTGTTTTCCTTCTGATTTGAATTAAATATTTTGCTTTGATTGAATTATTTCCAAATCAGGGTATATTTCTTTAATTTCAGCAAATGGATGCCTTTCAAGAGGTTTAGGCTCTTCACCACTACCAAATAATGATATGTTCATTTGACGTTCATGATCTGCATGCACACTAAACTTAACTTTGTTAATGTCGAAACTTGTTTCAGCAACTTTAACTTTTTCTTCCGATTCTTTTTGCTTGAAAATTGCATATTTACTACTTAAATCTGAATGTTCGATTTTTCCGAGGTAATCTTGTGATTCTGGTTCGAAACTGGATGTTGTTTGCGATATTCTGAAATTGATGAAAGAATTGTAGTAATATTCAGCACATACAATAAGATTTTGATTATCCATTGTATAAAGATAAAATCTGGGCTTGCCACTTTTGGTTTTTTGCCTTCTTGAGATTACTGCGGTAAACCTCTCTGTTCTTGGTGCATATATATCGTCTTTTGTCATGAAAGGTTCAGTCATTTTCGAAATTTAACGTACGTTTTATAAAAATCTTATTTCAATTTCCACTTATACGTTGGAATGCCAATGATCTGATTTCATTGTTTCGAATCACTATAGCATAATTTTCTGATATCCTTCTATTGATCTAAATATGGGAATATCATTCATTGTATATTCCATGGTTTATTCAACATAAAAAAAATAAATAAGAATAATTATTGTTCAAATATTAGATGACGAGGTAGAAGAATATTTAATAGAAGTATCTTTCATAATAAAGTATACATAATTTAAATATATAAAACTAATTAATCAAGTGCAAATATAGTAATTCCGAGTATCTTATTTATATGATCTCTTAACTTCCTTTCATGTGGATCGCAACACATTATATTGTCTATAATTTCTTCTTCCGTATGATGACCTCCAAAGTATTTATACGCAACTTCTAAATCCCATTTATCATCATCACAAATATCAAAAAATGTTTCTTTGTCCATAATTGTTGATAAAATTTTGAAAAAGTATCGTATTGAATCGTTTGTAGCATCATGAACATTTGCAAAAAAGTTTAAAATACGTAACTGTAGTTCTATTTGAGGATATTTTCCTATTTCAAAATTTTCTAAAAGTTCTAATTTGTCATTATTCTTTAAAGACTTAGTACAATCTTGAAAAACTTGAAGAGCTGCAATCTTATTTGTACAATCTGCAATTTCATATGCCTTTTTATAAAATAACTCTGATTTTTCAAGAGGATATTGTCTACATGAGAGCTGACTTTGCAAATGCTTTATTGTTGCATGATTTTTCTTGATCAAAACGTCAACGTATGCAGAGCATGCTATAAGTGAGCTTTGTAAGTTCACTAAAATCTTTTCTTTCATCTAATTTTATCTTTTTTAAACGTACACTTCACATTTGCAAAAGATAAATCTCGCATCACATTACAAATGCTGAATGCTTATAATGCATTTATTTTAACAATAAAATGGAAAATGTATAACTATTCTATACTTTGATTTTTTTTCAAATGGTAATGCTGTTAATATATAACTCTCATTGATAAGGCCTTATCATTTAAGTGACAGATGCTGAACGACAATAACTAATTTAAAAGATTATCAAACAAAATATTTTATTTCTATAAAACAAAACAAACATATGCAATTAATCTGGTGGCCAGTATGAAACGGATACTGTATTAGTTCCATAACCTGTACACCAGTTCTTGATGTTAATACAATTAATTACTCTGCAAGCAGGACATAATCCAGTGGTTGTATCTGCAGCACGATAAAAGCCAACTAATGTTGCCGAGTAAATGATTGTTAATATTGGAAAGGCAAGGAAAGCAGTCAAACCATGGCAAATCGTACTTGCACGCGACATTGTCATGTTAGGAAGAATCATAATTGAGCAAAGGATACCAACAATGATTCCTCCAATGTGGCTGAAATTATCCATGAATGGAAGTAATCCAAAAATGATACATGCTGCAATGCAAACGATCATCTTTCCAAGCTTGAATCCCTTCTTTTCGGCAGTTTTCCAGCTAGTTATTAAATCGCACATCATAACCATCATTAATCCCAAAACTGCACCAGATGTGCCAGCTCCGATCATGTTTGGAGAGAATAAACTAGATAAAATCCATCCATATGTACCTGCAATGAAGAAAATAAAGAAACAGCGCCAGTAGCCACCATCAATCTCGACGGGAAGCGTAACAAATAACAAACCTTCTGAAAATACAAGCTGTACTAGACCAAGATGTAAAAATATTGCTGTAATAAAACGCCAAATTTCACCATCAAGAATCGAAGGACCATATTTTGCACCAAGTATTACAACATTATCTGAACTAGGACCAATGAGAGGATTAGAGTTCATAGAATCTATCCATTTTTGTTGAATGCATTCACCGAAAAAGACAAGGAGAATTAATACCATACAACCATATGTCCATATAGCTGGAGACTTAGCTTCAAGTATAACGATTCTTGGTTTCTCATCTTCCTCTTTCTTAGCATCATTTTTATCTTCCTCTTCTGCTACACCAAATGCTTTTGGTTTTTCTTTCTTTGATTCAATTCTTCGTGAATTTCTATGCCTCCTTCCTCTATACGGTCTTGTTGTTTTAGAAGGATCCGGATATTCTGCTTCAATTTCCTGCTTTCTGGTTTTTCTTTCTTTATCACCAAGCATTTCATTATCAATCATAAGACTCATATTATCTGTAGAAACCAAACTATCACGCTCCCACCAATTTGCGTTTGGTTCATCAGGTTCTTCTTTATTATTAGTGGGCTTCGGAGGTGGTGGTAGCTCTAATGTTGGCTTGCTCTCAAGGAACAAGTTTCTATCATTGTTGTTGTGAGTTTGATCATTATTTTCATTAAACCATGTAGGAATACTCGGATTATTGTTGGTCATGTATAAAATTTGAAAAATTTTGTAAATTATTGAAATTTTTCTTATATGAAAAAAATTGAATAACATGAAGGTCAACAAAAAATTGTCATTTTATATACTTAATTAAAATATTCAAAGTTTGAGATAAAACATAAAACCCACTTTTGAATGGTTATCCTTATTATGTTTATTATTTATTCCGTTCTCACTGAATTTTTCTATCGAATTCTGAACTTCTACGGAATAGATGGTTTATAACCTTTCTGTAGAAAAAGCTCAACTCAAAAATCTGATGACTCTTATCAACTATAGCATCAAAGGTTCATTATTTTTGGATTGATCTTATAACTAGAAATGCTCACATTTTAGATTTGATTGTTTTCCAGTGGGATGTCCAGTTTTAAAACCTCAAATTAATATGGTTAGTATAATATTTGCTGTTTGTTAATATGTTTTTCACATTTTACAGCAAATTTGTTATTTTATTGAATGATCGCTGAAAAATTTTTAAAAACCATAATAATCCTATTTACTATGAATCACATTAATAATGTCCATGATAGTATTATATCAGTAACCAATAGAATTCATTCCTTGTTTCGAGATAAAAGGTTGGATTCAATCGTTTGATTTCATACACAATACATCATCATACTGTCACGGTAATTGATTGATTAAGTTATTCTCATGTGGATACTTTGTTTACTCGTCGTTATAATTTCAAACTTCATGTATCAATCGTGAGAGCAAATTTTCTTATAAGATATCGTATCTTGATATAATAGAGTGTCAAATGACACATAGCTACATTCGTTATGTTATGAGTTGAATAATTCTCTGGAAAATTTATAATTTTTTTTTCCATCATTTTAAAATTTTTTAATGAGCGAAAGCCCTGTCCTCCAAAAAGATTCAGTTAATGAATTAAATACAGTAATCGAGGAAATAGGAACTATTAAGGGATTTATTCAATGGGAAACCAAATTTCACGATTTAATTGGCAATGAAACCAAGCAAGAGCTTTTAATGATTTTAAATAATTTTGAAACCGAATTTAGAGAAAAATGTTTGAAAAAGCACGACGACAAAAAGCTAGAATTCGTAGTAGATACAAAAGTTTCAGATATCATTAATAGCGAAGCTTTATTAAACTTAATGTTCAATGATGACTCCGAATGGAATAAATTTAAGAAGATTTTCACAGCTAGACTCTTTAAAGACAGACTGAAAGTTTTATGCGACAAAATCAACAAATTTTATCCAGTTAAAGAAGATGATTTGGGAGCATTTATTGTTTTACTTGAAGAATCAATTAATGAATTAGAAACAGATAAGTTAGTTTTCAACTTTCATATCCAGATCAACAAATTCATCGGTCTCTTCGAAAATGACGAGAAGATTCGAACAGAAATTGCCAATATCATGTACATTGCATCATTTATCGATTTTATCAATCAATTCCAGCTTGGTGCTATCGAAAGGATCGATTCAATACTCTGCAAGTACATAGATCAGTAATAATTGTTTCAATCCCAGTAAACGTTTGTTTCAAAATAATTTTTTAATTTTTTTTTCCCCCATCAAAATCATTTTTATAACTTATACTTTAATTCTCATATAGATAACCTCTTTAAAATATATTTTTGCCTCAATGAGCCGGTAGTTTTCATGATCCATAGCAGATTTTGATCAAATTCACAATTAACGAACATTTTATTGCAATACACAACATGCTCAGGCCTTTCTATAATCAAAAGATATATTTGTATAATGCGGGGCATCACGCTCATCAAATTGTGAATCCAAGTGATTAAATTTAGTCTGACATTCACATACTTGATAGAATATATATAAATCAGAATAAATCGCAATTTAAATCTCCAAAATATAATTTTCATTCACAATTTATAATTCCATGATGAAATTTTGTGACAAAATCAAGTCTCTCTCCTCCTCAAAGGAATTTGGCATGCTATATTTATCATTCTGTTGCTAGTTCCATATGAAATTATAATCAACGAATAATATAAACAATTTAATTATAACATACAATAAAAAAAAAACAAATTTAGCATATGTTGCATGATGATGCATTAGCAATGCTATTAATTTGATCATCGTGTTCGGCAATATGACTTTCTAAAACTGCAATTCTTTCGGAATCATTCATCAAAATCCAGTCCCTAAGAACTATATCTGCATAAGTTTTCCTCAAAAAACATTTTTCGTATTTCATCATATTTTCCTTGTTTGGAAAGACCAAATGAAATCCTCTTAATCTCTCTTGTTCATCAACAAAATCTCTAATGATCTCAATATCCATGAAAGTAGGATCATCCCATGGCCTTATTATCTCTTTTTCGACATTTTCTCTTCTCTTTTTTGATACAGATTTTTTCTCAAAATCATAAATTTTATTGGCAGCATCGCATCCAATTTCTGGATCGCAATCAATAATTCTTGCCATGTTGTATGTATCCAATAATACTTCAGTTTTCATCCATTTATCTAGTGCTGAGTCTGTTCCCGTCATTCCAGGACTTACGTTGATTTCAACAACTGTTGGATTTAAATCTTCATCAAGAAGCATATCAATACCAAGTAATTCGAAGCATTGATGTCTATTGTTAACATGATTCTTATGAGAATCTCTTACTTTATCCATACCAGCAATGGTTGCTTTGATTGCTGCATATTCCATGTCTTTTTTGATCTTTTCAGAGTCATAACCATTTTCTTGAAGCCATTTGAAGAAAAAAGGAAGTGACCACTTCGAATCTTCAGGTTTCTCTTCAATTCCTTTAGGTCTCACGAAGAACTCAGAGTTTTTGTTCACCTCCCAATTAGTTATATGCATTCTTGGCTCATTAACACCCTTGCTTTTGTCAAAAGGAACTGTACAGAATAATCCCAATCCATGGCGATGAATATATATTGTCATTGGCTCAACACTAGTGACTAATGTGTAGAATCTAATATCAAACTTACGACCCATGATAAGAAAAGGTCTGTCAAGGTATTTTTGTACTAAATACGGGTATGGAGGATATGTTTGTTCAGATGAGTCTCTAACTTCGATATTTTGGCCTTTTGATGATGCCCTTGGTTTTAATATCCAGTATTGCGATGTTGACCATGCATTTATTATCTTATCAAAATCATCTGGTAAAATATATGTTTGTTGATAGAATAAAGTTTCTGAATATCCCATTCGTTCTGTTAATTCTTGTATTCTTTGATGAAATTCGTCTTTTCTTCCTATTAAATCTACTGAATGAAAATGGCTTAATTTTTGCCATGGTTTAACAGCTTCAAAATCTTCATCAGGCAGTATCTTACCAATAAATATGTTTACATTTGTTGTATTTACCACTGGTTTCATTCCAACTTTTTTTAAACAATCAACATGAAGGTCTGTTGATGTGAAATAGGGGAAAAAACGTTGCATTTTATTACTAACACGATCCGAGTCTTCAGGTTTTGGTGTTTCTATGTAAGAAAATGGTAATTGATGCTGTTTGAATAAAAAATTAATCTTTTCCATATAAAATTTAACTACGAAAATATAAAATTAACTCATAATTTTAGACATGATCTAACGTCTTAATATTTATAAACAATATTGTTTTGAGCTTCTCTCATTAACAAGATTATCATCATTCTACTGGCCAATAATCTAAAAGTAATGATGTACTGATGATTTTAAATGTATACATCAGTTGGTGAGTTTTAGAAAGTTTGATCATAAAATTTTGCAAATTTTTTGCAGAACAAGATAATTTAATTATCGATGGACAATGCATACATTTATTCATTCTTGTATATTTCCTAGTTATATTAAAAGAAAGAAAAAAGATAATGATGTGATTGGCAATTTTTCGATTTGGTAAAAAAGACGTGAAGATTGAAGCTTGCTCAACTCAATCAAATGCCTTAACTTCAGGAGAAATTAAATATTAAATTATGTAGAAATTTTATCATAAAAATTATACAATTGGATATATATACTTAGAAAGGTATTTAAAAATATGAATAACATGGAACCAAAAAACGAAATTTTTAGTTTAACCCAAAATTACTGTGTAAAAGTTCTGAGATCCAGAACAAGCTACAATTAGTTCATCTCCTATTGCAGCCAATTCAACTAGTTTCTTTGGTAAATTGAGTTTTGTTTCAGGAATTAAGTTTGGATAATAAATTTTTTCGGCGCCATTAGAAATCTTTGGTGCAGTAAGCTTATAAACATTTTCAAGGTCATCAATCAACTGTTGTAATGTCTTATCTTCTGCCTTGTATTCAATTGTGAATTCATCACTGCATTTCTCGCATTTACTGTTCTTCTGCATTACGGTATTAGCGTAAGCAATGCCATTATCGCCAACAACCTGCTGATTGTTGGAGTTTGGAGCGCATCCAGTAATGTATTTGATAGCTTCAGTTGTACACATGGAAGCAACGAATGCTTGTGTAGATGCGATAGCAGGGATGATATTCTTGATAACGCCACGAGCCATTCTTGGTGTGATTTCGCCTAAATTGTATTTCTTTCCGTGTTCATTTGCTTTTTCAACGACGTATGCGATATGGTCATCGTTATCGCCATCGAGCTTCTCTCCTGGGTGCTCCTTTGGCCAGAGAATGTCTTTAACCCAGGCAACGCAATGTTCTGGTTGGCGAGGGTTTGTAGCGATTGTGCAGAATTGGAATTGCTGTGGTTTGGTCTTCATAATTGATGGATAGCAGCTAAGGCAGGCTGTCTCTAATGGCTTGATGAATTTGCAGTGTCCCATCCATTTTTCGGAACCACCATCGATGTATGGGATGACTGGACCTCCTTCTTTGGCGATCTGAACAACTTTGTCGTTCATGTAGAGTCTGGCATTGACGTTATCAAGGCCGCCGATAATTACATCGAATTGTAAGAAGAAATCATCTGGGAATTCTTGGATCTTACATGTATGTGAAGTGATTTCGCAGTCTGGAACACGACGCTTGATGAATTCGGCAGCAACTTCGGATTTATAGCGTCCTACATCTTTTTGACGGAAAAGGAATTGACGATTTAAGTTGGAAACATCAATTGTGTCCATATCGACAACATGGATGTGTTTGATGCCAGACATAGCTAAGCACTTCAAAAGTTCGCAGCCTAATCCACCTGCGCCGAGAACAAGGACTTGACGGCCTTCTAAATAATCCTTGCCTTCATCCCCTGTGACAAAGTAGTCATAGCAGTATGGACCACGAGTGCCAAGCAAAGCTTGAATACCTTCAGCTAACATTTTAAAAATTGAAATTTTTTTTGTCATAATTTTTTTTCAGATGGAAATTTTTATAGGTATAATTTTCTTTTGAAATTAAGCTTCTCTTTTCGAGGAATAAATGTTGAGATCTTCAAAATCCAAAATAATGTTGACCTAGGAAAAGTGACGACTTTTCTTCTTTTTTCCTAGGGTTACTGATCTCTTCCTTTCTGCTCGTTATGCCAGAAATGAACGAAATGTTTGATGCAACATAATCTTCATTCCAATTGGCAACTTTCCTGTTGAGTATAATTAGTTTCATTATCAGTAATTCGCCCGCATTATTCAATTTAAGATCAACTTAGTAAATTTTAATTTTATTGCAACAGTGCCCTCACATGGAGATAACATAAAGATTACACCTGCCAAATCCCCACAATAAGAATCGAAATTTTGCATCTCAAAAATACAACAACAACATTCCTCGTAATTTTAGGATTTTACGTAGCCCACGATACGTATTCAAATAACATGAATATAGAAAAAGTTATTAAAGTTTGAGGAAATTATTGTTAAAATATTATTTCAAAATAAGATCATGTCATTCATATTTAGAGCCTACTGATTCTATTAAGGTGGCCAATTCTGGTTAATGACTGCTGGGAAACGTACCCCAAGGTAAAAAATTAATATGGTAATAAAAATTTTTTATTTTAGGTTTTTCAAAATATTTTTGGAGAGATTATATTTGTTCCCCGTATAATTTGTCGGTGCAATAGGCATCTACTATTCATGACTGTGCCTACTATGTGCCTTTCCCAGATTAAAGTCTATTTAACCAGAAACGATCACCTTAATTCTATTTACCTTATTGATCTTGAAATCTGTCGTTTGGATTCTTCCTGGGACTTCGTTTTTTGGAATTATAAGACCTCATAACGTCGTAATATTTAGTTCCCTATTTCAGAATGACAAATCTTCATCATCAGGTGCATTATACGTCCAAAGTTCCCCAAAGCAAATGCTTCAAACATTTATTGAGAAAAATTCATTTCAAAATATATATTCTTCAAACTCTTTGATCTATTATTCCTCTGGTTATAAAAACGATTTTAACAATAATCAAATACATTATTGTGCAGATCTCAATGGACATTTTCTTAACTTTGGCACCACTAACACATCAATGACATATTGTAACTATACGCAACCAGGAAGTATTATTCAATTTATAAATATTAATGAAGCATCTCTTGATTTTTGCATTTTTTCAGACATATTAATACAAAATTATTCAGAGTTGTTTTATAGTTGCGGAAAAGCAAAAATTTTAAATTCTGTTTTTCAAGTCTTATTTGATCTAACAGGTTTCATGTATTCCACCACAAAAGAAGAACGCATAATGAAAAATTGTGAATTCATAGAAATTTCTGTATTATATTCAGGTAATTGGAGTACTTTCTTCCAAAATTTAGAACTTATTGATTGCTCGATTCTGAATGATAAAAGTGAAATTAATTCCTTATCAAACATAATAACAATCAAACCAGATCTTAAAATTTATAGTGTTAGTGATGAACCAGTCAAATTTATTACAGAACAAATAGTAAATTATCATGATACAAAATCCAGAATTGACCTTAACACTGCTTACTTAAGTTCATGCAGTATTTCAGATTGCCAATTCCTTCATTTGATTAGTAATCAAGCCGGCGGTGCTATAAAAATCATCACATCTGAATGTAACGTCACAATTCATACGACAATATTTCAAAATATCAGTTGTTCATCATTTTTTGTTAATGTTGATGGTGGTGCTATTTACTTGTCTGCTACGAAAGGCTCATTATATATCTATGAAAGTTGTTGTACAGATTGCTTTTCGTTAGATACAAATCATTTTGCATATGCCTATATCGATGGTAATTCAGAATTTAGATTTCAATCTTCATGTTTATGCAATTGTCCTGGAAAAAACAACCATACAGGACAATCGATGTATATTCATATGAATGCAGATATAAGTCAATGTAATTTTTCAAATAATTATCCAAGATCATATGCTGTTATTTACAATTATAATGATTTAGAATCAACTATTCAGAATTGCTTAGTTTTTCAAAACGGAATCAAAGACAAATCACTAATTTCAAGCCGCGAATTAAATCTTCATGATTCGAATTTCATTAATAACATTCTCGATAATGATAAATCAGATAATTTGGTTTTGGCATCCTTTGATAAAAATCCTTATTCAGTTTATTGCCACAACAACAATAATTTCGATGAAAGCAATCTAAAATCAGATTTAACAGTTCAAAATACTTTGAAATTTAAAGATTACTGTTATATAAAACCACCTAAGAGCTGGACCCCATTAATTCTCTCATTGACAGGTGTTGTAATCATATTGTTAATAATATCAATTATTTTTGGCGTCTACTTGCATAAGCGCTACCGTAAGATCGAAAATCGTCAGGCACATGAACGCAGTTTACAAGACGACTTTGGCTAAATCTATATTTTCATATTTTTTATATTCATTTCATATTTTCAAATTATAAACATTGCAAATATTACATTCAAACTTTAACTTGATATATAAAGATATAAATTCTAATCGGTCAGTAAGACTTCTATATATTTCTTGCTTTATCGGCGGTGCTATAAAAATTATCACATATGAATGCTTTGTCGAAATTCATACGACAATATTTAACAATATCAGCTGTTCATCATTTTTTGTTAATGTTGATGGTGGTGTTATTTATTTGTCTGCTACGAATGGATCATTATATATCTATGAAAGTTGTTGTACAGATTGCTCTTCGATGGATTCAAATCATTTTGCGTATGCCAACATGGAAAACGGTGATGGATTTAGATTTCACTATTCAAGTTTATGCAATTGTCCTAGAAATAAACTCCACACAGGACAAACAATGTATATCAATTCGATGGCAGACATAGACAAATCTAATTTTTCAAATAATAATCCAAGAAAATATGCTGTTATTTATAATGCTAAGAATGACTTAATGTTTCAGAATTGTTTAGTTTATCATAACATAATCAAAGAAAAAGCACTTATATACTGCTACAGTTTAAAAATTTCTTGTTCAAATTTCATTGATAACATTCTCGACAATGATAAATCAGATAGTTTGGTTTTGGCAATTGAAATTAATCATGATTCTGTTTATTGCCACAACAACAATAATTTTGAAGAAAGCAATATAAAATCAAATTTAATAGTTCAAAATACTTTGAAATTTAAAGATTATTGTTATATCAAACAAAAAAAGGATTGGACCTCATTAATTCTCTCATTAACAGGTGCTGCATGCATATTGCTAATAATATCAATAATATTTGGCGTCTACTTGCATAAGCGCTACCGTAAAATTGAAATACAAGACAACTTTGGATAAATCTCTATTTTCATATTATTTTTATATTCATATTATTTTTATTTTCATATATTCAAATTATAAACATGCAAATTTTTTAGTATAAAGACTGAATGAAAATAATCAAATATGTCAAGAAATTAAGTTCATTTAATAGATAATAAATATTCTCTAACTTCACCTTTTGCGTATGAAAGTGCTGTTTTTCCATCATTATCCTTTGCTTCTTTATTAGCTCCAACTGAGATAAGATATTGAATAACTTCAAGTTTACCATTTTCTGATGCCCTAATGAGTGGAGTAGATCCATCATTACTCTTTGCTTCTTTATTAGCTCCAACTGAGATAAGATATTGAACAACTGCAAGTTTACCTTCTTGTGCTGCCTCAATGAGTGGAGTAAATCCAATATTACTCTTTGCTTCTTTATTAGCTCCAACTGAGATAAGATATTGAACAACTGCAAGTTCACCTTTAAATGATGCATTATATAGTGGAGTCCATCCATTATTATTCTTTGCATCTTTGTCACAGCCACATTCAATGAGACATTTAACAAGTCTCAGATTTCCATATGAAGATGCATAATGAAGTACTTTTTCGCCAAATTCAGCTTTCTTTTCATAAAGTCCTTCTTCAATTGCTTTGAGCATCATTTTTTGATTGCCTTTTTCTGAAATTTCAGCAAAGAATTTGTAGATTTGATTGAAATGTGTGGAATTTTTAAGTTCGGAAATTTTCGAAAGAAATTCTTTTGGTAAATCGTTTCCTTTGATTGAAGATTTAAGAGTTTGTACTTCTTTCGCGATGTTTTCTTTTTCTTGTTGAACTTGATTGAAATTTGTTTGAAGTTTTTCGATTTTATCTGTTAAATCTGACACAATTCTTCCTGTTTGATTTAACATGTCAATAATACCATCTAATGGTTTCATTTGCATGTATTTTCGGATAGATTTTAGGGTTGAAATTGCATCTTCCAAGTTCCCGATTGAAACGCTTGCATATCGAATACAAGAATAAATTTCATGTGCTTCGATAATAAGGGATGACTGCTTAAGTAGAGTGTCAAAGTCACTTGGAGTTAAATTTGCGTATTTCATGATCGTTTCGATATCTTCTATCTCGAATGTATCAAAGAATTTATTGTCATTAATATAATCTTTGATATGAGCACCAATATATTCGAAATTCAGAATAATTCCTCGACTCATTAAAATTTGTATATTTGAGAAGAAAGTCGAAAGTTAAAAATAATTCATCGCATTGCAACTGGAAGCCAAATAAATTGATATCTAGAGGGATCAAAAAACGAATTCGCCAAATTAGCAAAAAAAAATCATGGATACGTAAGTCGTGCAATATATATTAGCCTATTTCATTGGAACTGTTATATTATAAGCTATATATGTGGCAGATCAATCCCTTGGAGTCAATGCGTTGTTAAAACTATGTGTTAATTTGCAATATGCGGTGAGTTCATAGTTTTTGGTGTATGTTGGAAAGCTAAATTTAAAAATTTTACGTACATTTTCAAATTTACTCTCTATTCTTTTTAATTGTGAGAATAATCTTCTAAGAAGGAGGAAAAAAACGAATATATAATATTAATGTAGCTATAGGCCGAGTGGCGTGGAAAGGATGTCGCCCTTCGGGTTCCACCATTTCCAAACCACGAGGCCCAAATTTTGGCTACATTTTTGATTTATTTATATTATAATAAAATACCAACTTCTAATGTTATTTTATTACACTCTTAGCAAGTTTGAATTATGCTTTATATAAGAAGTGAGGTTTAAACAATTTCAATAACTTATTTTTATTTTCATTTTTTTAAGGATGCACTTACCTCTTTCTGACACACTCTCAATATAGTCTAACTAAAAAATGTTTTCTATAATAAACATTTAACATTTTTCTTTATATAAATCAAATGAAATTTATCAATATTGAGTGACAAATAGAAATGATAAAAAAAATCTATGAGTCTTTGCCTTTGTAAGTTGAAGTGCGTCAAAAAAATTGAAAGCAAGTCAGAAAGTGGCAAGTTCACCCTTTAAAAAATTGAAATATGCATTTAAAAATAAAAAATATAATTTTATAAAATATAAAATATTAGATGCTCTTGTAATCTTTGTATTTTTGAAAATTTTTCTTAATTGATGCTTATATCTTCATCATCCGCATCAGCATTTTCATTCTGCTGTGCATACTTCTTTTTCTGATTTTCAAGCTCTAATTTAGCTCTCTTTTCTTGTCGTTTAATCTTTTTCTTTTGCTTTTTATTTAGTTTTCTATTTTTAGGCGGTTCATTATTTGGTACGAACTTTGGACTTTGGTTAGACTTTGGTGGAATAGATTCTGATGAATCAAAATGATTGAGTAAGTTAGTACGGATTTCCCTTCTTTGACTTCTTTGCTTTCTTAAAACAGTTGATGTTGAAAAAGTTTCCTTGACTTTTCCAACTTTGAATGAAGCAACTGCATCATCAATGATACTATGAAGCATTCCAGTGACTTCATTTTTAAGAGAATCGCCACTATTATTAAATTCCTCATACATTGTTTTGAAATCCTTTCCTCCATACATATGGAAATATGTTTCGAATGCATTAACAGCTTTATATGCATGATGATGAGTATAAAAGAAGCATACATCAATTCCTTTAGCAGCTATTCTTTGTATTCTATCTTTCATTTTTGGTTCTTCCTCTCCGTCAATCATTTACTCTTTTCGTATAATCTAATTTTGAATCAAAACTATTTCCATGGCAACTTGCATCTGTAATCATAATCATGATTTTCTTTGACTTTGATCTCCAATTCATTCCAAGAACTCCATCAAATGCTTGAACCCAATCTTCAGGTCCATCTCCTGCTCCACCTCCGCATGATACATAATCAAAACGATCTGGACTAAAGAAATTAGATGATTGAAAATCAAAAATGTCAGGGTAATTCCATAGTGTGTGACCAACATATCTTGCCATTGCCATATCTCTAAAGAAAACTGCGGAGTATTGAACATCACAACTTGAATATTTATCATTGATATATCTAATTAATGTCTTTGAAATGTTTTTGGCTCCTGTAATCATTGATCTAGATGAAAGCGTGCTTAAACCATTCTGCCTGGTGAATTCTTCATTGAACCTGTTGCATCAACAACAAAACAAATATCTATAACACTACCATCAACATATTCGTTAAATTTAATTTCTGGAGGATTTAATGGTAAATCAATATTGAATTTCTCTGCCTTCCAGCTTGTTGCAAGTTTATAACTATAGATCCAAGGTGATGTGATTTTTGCATCCCTGGGATGGACGATACACCCAAAGTGTCACCTTTTTTGGGATAACATGAATTTTAAATATCATGAGAGTTCTGCAAACCATATGCACAATATCTATTCAGCCTGACTTCTTGTATATATGAGTTAGACTTCTTAAATATTGTGCTTGGGGCGATATAAGTATTTCCGAGATTACCATCGTGCTCTATAGTATGCTACTTCTCCCTGGTTCTAGCTCAGTTCCAAGGATATTGGCGTTCAAGGATTTGGCAAGGTCCTTCCGAAGTCTCTCATTCGATGAGAGATTTCGGAAGAATCTTGCCTTAAAGTACTCCAACTCTTGTTCTTTTGTTCCTAAATAGTGAGAAAAGTTATTTGACTACTTAAGGTAGAGATTATCCGAGGTCCCTCATTTGATGAGGGGCCTCGGATAATCTCTGCTTTAAAATTGTACACTTGTAGTCCATGAGAGTGTAAGTATACATTGATAGGACAGCTTTCTTCTGAAGTCTTAGATTTGATGAGAACCTCAGAAGAAAACTGTCATATTTTATAGTAAAAGGAGTTTCAGGAGCTCCAAAGCTCCCTTTCGTAAGGATTAGGAGCTTTGGAGCTCCTGGTTCGGAGATGTGTTTCGCATCTTTCATCAGCAAAGGACATTTACCATCTGGGACTTTGTTGATGGAGACTCAGGAGCTCCAAAGCTCCCTTTAGTAAGGATTAGAAGCTTTGAAGCTCCTGGTTCGTAGACGTGTTTCGCATCTTTCATCAGAAGAGGCCCAAATGGTAAATAGCCTCTGCTGATGAGCTTCAGGAGCTCCAAGACTCCCTCTCGTAACGATTAGGAGCTTTGTAGCTCCTGAAGGTAAGGTAGGATTGCTCTGATCTCTAATCAGTAGATGCCATGCCTCATTATGAACTCTACTGACAAGAGATCAAGAGCTCCAAGGACTCCTTTTTTAGTTAGTGGCGTTCTCACCATTTAGTAGGATTGCTGATCCTACTAATGAAGTGATCACTTAGTATACGTTTTGAATAAATTGAATTTTTTTTAGAATTTAGTATTTTTTATAGACATCACATGTATATTATAAATACATAAATATATTCTTTAATTCAAAAAATTCAATTCGGTTTTGGGATGGGCATCCCAGCCCCAAGTATTCAATTTTATTCAATTTTTAAAGAATTTTGGGTTGGGATGCCCAGACCAAAACAAGCTTTATATTTTGATGTGTAGATACGTATGTGTGCATCATTGTTGTGTTATATATTATGTTTTTAATGAAAAAAAATCTGATTCAAAAAAAATTATCACTAATTAGTTGATAATATAAAGAAAAAATAGATAAATTGTATGTTTTGAGAGTATTTATCCACATTCACTCATATGAATTTCATTAAATAGTGTCTTTTTACTCCCAAATTTATTTTGAATTATTGAAATCAAAGAAAAAAAATCAGAAAAATTTCTCGAAATTTTTATTTTCAAAAAAAATTTGGATTTTATATTGAAAACTGACACTGGGAGGACGATAGGGCTGGGATTGGAGATACCCCGCTCACTTGGGAAAAATACGGATCTATATTTATAACTCCTCAATAATCTTTCTCTCTTTTCAACTGATAATAACCAAACAGCGATATTTCTCACCAGCCTCAATGTTCCTGCTTCATGAAGTTCATTAAAGAACCTTGTAAATGAACCATCGAGAATTATGTCGCCGGCTAAACTTTCAGGTGGTGACATGTAGTATAGATTGCTGAAGTTTCCTTGTGTTGTGACAATGAAAGGCTGGAAAGGTCCAAGATCTGCATCTCCTGGAACGCATGAAATTGTTGTTCCTTCAAATAGTGTTTTAACATTGAAACCGTACAATGGTCTCTTACTTCCTGGAACATCAATATATGATCTTTCGTCGAAAATTCTAGCTTCTTCGCCATCAATATTTCCGAATTTGAGCATTTCTCCAAAAGATTAATTACAAAAATTCATTAAAATATCAAACTTACCTAGTAATTTGGTATACGTTGAATGAATAAATTCGTATTTTTTTAAAAAAAATTGTATTATTTGAACTTAACATTGTTTATTTGCATTAATGATGACATAAATAATTAGTTTGCTAGTAAATGAGAGGTATGTACCTCATTTTTGTTCAATGAATCTCTAGAGATTCTTATAACAAATTCACCGATATAATGAAATTAGGATTTTAGTAGCAAAATTCTACTTTCCACTACATATATACATTATTACATCAGCAATCTGTCTAATCAAAAACACATTTCTCATAAACGTTTTCAAATTCATAAATTGAAACGCATCCTTTCAAAAAAGAACTACGAATATTTATCAAAAGAGAACAAGAAACAAAAACTCTTATTTTCTCGGCTTTTTAGTCAAATTTTTACTAATTTATTTTCGAAAATTGAATTTTTATTCAAATTTATTCGCTTACGACAAACATCATCTACTTGGATTGATGTTTTATCTTAAATTACGAGATTTTTTTTCGTATATTTTATTTGTAAAAAAAAGCAACCAAACAGACATTCAACTTCAAATATGTTCATTCATTTCGCTACATAATTATTTAATTCATCTTTTACCTGAAAAAATTCAACTTTACCAAGTTCAAATATCATATTGAACCCGGCACGACATTTTCACATTCAATTTATACAATATTTTTCAATAAGAAAATGAATATTAAACTACGAAGAGTAATTCGAATAAAACATTTCATATCCAAAATAATACTAATATTTTTTTCGTTTTATCAATGAAATAAATAATATATCTCTACATATTCATATGATAATAGTTTTTGAAGCTAATGAATGGCACAAGTCTATTATTATTTGTGTATTCGTTCAAAAACATAAAGTTCAAACATATAACATATAAAATTGTTGACTGTAGAACAAGTGTGGTAATATATATTATGAAAATCAATATTTGACATGTTTTGTGAATAAGATTAATTTTTTTTCCCTCAATATGATCAGATTTGGGAATATCAAGGAAATTTCATTTCATATAGATTGAAAGATTTGGAAAATTACAATTATACTACGCAGAATAAATCAAAATTAAACAATTGAGAATTTAAAAATTTGTATCATTTGTTTTAAACAAAATCATGAATATTTATATTTAGTCAACTTCCTCAACACGTGGGCCAGAGCCTGATGGGCGAGCACCAGCAGATGGGCCAGCACCTGGAGCAGCACCACCAGCGCCACCCATGTTCTGGAACATAGATGGGTCAACACCACCTGGCATTCCGCCGGCACCACCAGCAGCAGACTGGTAGGCCTTCTGCATGAGTGGCATCAACTGGCCTTCGACATCCTTCTGCTTGTTCTCGTAGTCAGAGACAGAAGCATCCTGGTTGGATTCGATCCAAGCGAGTGTGTCATTGACAATCTTGAGGATGGCATCCTTGTCGGCAGCATCGATCTTAGAGCCGAGTTCGCCGTTGACAGAGTTACGAACACCGAAGCAGTAGCCTTCGAGACCGTTCTTAGCTTCGATCTTCTTCTTGGCTTCTTCATCCTGAGCCTTGTACTTCTCAGCATCAGAAACCATGCGGTCGATATCTGCCTGAGAAAGACGGCCCTTGTCGTTCTTGATTGTGATCTTCTTGACATTACCTGTGGACTTATCCTGAGCAGAAACGTTCATGATACCATCAGCGTTGACATCGAATGTAACTTCGATCTGTGGAACACCACGTGGTGCTGGTGGAATGCCTGTGAGATCGAATGTACCGAGAAGGTTGTTGTCGCGTGTTCTTGTACGCTCACCTTCGTAGACCTTGATTGTAACTGCTGGCAGGTTATCAGCGAATGTTGTGAAGATGTTTGACTTCTTGGCTGGAATTGTTGTGTTACGTGGGATCAAAACTGTCATGATTTCGCCAGCTGTCTCAATACCAAGGGAAAGTGGAGCGACATCGAGAAGTAAGATATCCTTGACTGCCTCGGAGTTATCGCCCTTGATGATGGCGGCCTGGACTGCAGCACCGTAAGCGACGGCCTCATCTGGGTCGACACCACGGCATGGCTGCTTGCCGTTGAAGAACTCCTGGAGGAGCTGCTGGACACGTGGAATACGTGATGAGCCACCGACAAGAACGATATCTGTGACATCGGACTTGGACATCTTTGCATCCTTGAGAACCTGGGCAACTGGACCAAGTGTGGATCTGAAGAGTTCATCGTTCAAGTTCTCGAACATAGCACGAGAAATTGTATCCTGGAAATCGTGGCCCTGGTAAAGAGACTCGCAAAGGATGGATGCGTTAGCAGCTGTAGAGATTGTACGCTTAGCACGCTCGCAAGCTGTTCTGAGTGTTCTCAAAGCACGTGGTGATTCGCGGAGATCGCACTTGAACTTCTTCTGGAAACGATCAGCGATGTAATCGACAAGGCGTGAATCGAAGTCTTCACCACCAAGGTGTGTATCACCAGCTGTAGCACGAACTTCGAACATGCCACCATCGATATCAAGAAGGGAAACATCGAATGTGCCACCACCGAGATCGAAGATGAGAACGTGGCGTTCCTTATCGGACTTCTCGTTGAGACCGAAAGCGATAGCAGCGGCTGTTGGCTCGTTGATGATACGGAGGACGTTGAGGCCAGCGATGACACCAGCATCCTTTGTAGCCTGACGTTGGCCATCGTTGAAGTAAGCTGGAACTGTAACAACAGCATCTGTAATCTTTTCTGAAAGCATGTTCTCAGCTGTTTCTTTCATCTTGCCGAGGACCATGGCTGAGATTTCTTCTGGGAAGAATTGCTTTGTCTCACCCTTGAACTGAACCTCGATCTTTGGACGATCACCATCGCCGCGGACGACCTTGAATGGCCAGTGCTTCATATCCTTCTGGACGACTGGATCTGAGAACTTACGGCCAATCATACGCTTGGCGTCGAAGACTGTGTTCTGTGGGTTCATAGCAGCTTGGTTCTTAGCAGCATCACCGACGAGTCTCTCGTCTTCTGTGAATGCGACGTAAGATGGGGTTGTTCTGTTACCCATATCATTAGCAAGAATGTCAACACGGTTGTGGCGGAAAACACCAACACATGAATATGTTGTACCAAGATCAATACCAATTGCAGACATGAAAAATTATGATTTATATCCGCCCATTCAAAAATTTCAATAGATAAATAGTCGAGTGATATCTGGTTTTGGCTCGACCACTTATAAATTTTTGTGCTATTTTTACTTTATTAAAGAAAGAATTGGATTAATTAGCATGTAATCAGGATATTCACATGATTTTGCTGGAAAAAAGAAGATTTGAAAAACGGTTATGAAAAATTTACCAGATGTTATATATGTCTGGGAAACCAGAAGGATATCACAATTCTGGTAAAATCATTTCTTTCACAAAATTTATACTTTTGCCGACCATTTAATTCATATCTTTCTTATAGAATGAAATCATAAAATTCATTCAACATCCTTGAATTTGAAATGGCCTAAAACTCATATTGCCAGTACGTGAAACAATTAAACGACGCATATTGTCGAATAATATTTGAAGATGTTTCGCTTTTTACTTGATCTACTCACATTAGAAAAAACATTCATCAGTACAGTCATTCTTACAAGATTGCAAATTATACCAAAATCAAAATGCAAAAAACTCTGAATTTAGGTATTTTAATTTGACATTCATGGTATATAAGTAATTTTGTTGTATATTCTACCATCAAAGTAATAAAATATGATTTCTCTACAAAACAATTTTTCTCCTAAATCTCAAGTTAAGCATCTGCTAGTCGACTCTATTTATACCCTAAGTATTAGTCCTTTCCTCATGCTAGAAATAGTGAAGGAAAACTTAATTTTTTTAATCGAAAAATTAGCGCTTTCCAAGACAGTTCTTCAAGCCAGAAGTCCAACATATATGCAACCTAGCTGCTGGTGGTCAGGGATATAAATTTACTCGAATAAGCTAATGTTCTTTATGAAGTTTCTCATTGAATTAGAAGCTTTATAAGGACTTTGCTCTAAAGTACTCTTTTTCCTCTTCTTTGGCTTGCAGAGGGCTTATAGTTCTGTAATTTGAGGAATACCCTCAAATTTTTACTTTTTAAAATTCCCTGAGATTAAAAAATTGATTATAACCGAGTCAGATTTTAGTATTTGTTCATCATAGTATTACCATTATAAAGGTTCTTTGATATCCTATACTTCCACATCAGTGTTGGTCTCTATTGTATTTCAAATAGTTCTAATGTCCCTCAAAATTAGCTAAAATTTTTTGTCTCATCTAAAAAGGAATGAATGAGTCTAATAGAATTGGGCAAGGAATGAATGTTACCATACTAATTCTACGAAATTTTGAGTTTGAATGAAATTATCTGATAAGATTTCTTGAGATTCTGACAAAACCATATGGGTAAACACGGGTTCACATATGTGATTCAATTGCTCATATTGAAGTCTGGAATCAACCTCACTCTTGAGCCAATCCATCGAATTTGATACTCGAGTGTCAAAAAAATGCTCATTTTAGATGGGGGCGATACCCAAAACTACCAGATTTGCTATTTTTTGAGGGAAATTAACCGTTTTTTTAGCTGGCAGATTTTTTTAGCAACAAACGGGGGACATTATAATTTGAAAAAAATTCATCCATATTGAGTTGCAAAAACAATTACTAGAGATAATAGATTATAAAAATAAATGTATTTAGCAAAAGTTTTACATTATTAGCACATCCATAAGAAAATTTTTTGGGAAAAAAAATGAAAGTCATTGACATCTTATCAAAATATCAATAAATTTTAATTGTAATACGTTCTGAGAGAAATTGAAGAAATTAACACTAACAGAGTTTGGATTAACTACACAACTCAGCTATATTCGAATAAAAGTACATTCTCTGATCTCTTAGAGGTAGGTATGGTATAAGTTATGGCAGATTGTTTAAGTTTGAAAGAATAATCAAAGATTGACAAAACTAAAAATTCAGAGAAATGTATAGAATCAGTGGGGAAAATTGAATTATTTTTAGTCCTAATCAAATCAATCTTCGAAATTTCCAGAAAAATAAAGAATATTATCTTATGTAAGAACATTATTCTTTGGCACCGTGTGAAATAAGGACTTCGGCAGTTTCTTTACTATTTTGAGATGCTGCATGATGAAGTGCGGTTTTTCCATTTTCATCCTTTTCATTGACATTCGCACCATGTGAAATAAGAACTTCGGCAGTTTCTTTACTATTTTTATATGCTGCTTTATGAAGTGCTGTTTCTCCATATCTATCCTTTTCGTTGACATTTGCACCATGTGAAATAAGGACTTCTGCAGTTTCTTTACTATTTTCAGATGCTGCATAATGAAGCGCTGTTTTTCCATTTTGATTCTTTTCATTGACATTCGCACCATGTGAAATCAGAAGTTCTGCAGTTTCTTTACTATTATTCCATGCTGCATCATGAAGTGCGGTTTTTCCATATTTATTCTTTTCATTGACATTCGCACCAAGTGAAATAAGGACTTCAGCAGTTTCTTTATTATTATAACATGCTGCTTGATGAAGTGCTGTATTTCCATTTTGATCCTTTTCATTGATATTTGCACCATGTGAAATAAGGACTTCGGCAGTTTCTTTATTATTATAACATGCTGCTTTATAAAGTGCTGTTTCTCCATCTTCATCCTTTTCATTGACATTAGCACCATGATTAATCTACTCCCATTAATTAAAAACAAAAATAGTCCATTAAAAACATCTATAGCAAAAATTTTAGGAAATTTAATTTTTCAATTCGCTGAAAACACATGAAAACTCAATGAAAGCCAAATAAATATATTTTAAATATTAACAAAATGCTGTATCTATTATAATATTTTAACTTTATTAATCAATTATTATTTTGACACTTTACAAATATACTCTGACTCCATCAAACAAAGCTCCTCAATATTTGTCCCCCAGCGTCCCCCAAGTGGGGGACGCAATATTCCCCCTGGGGGACAAAACGACATCCTTACTCAAAATTCTAACTATTACATTGAAAGAGAGGAAAAGACGATTGGGGTTAACAGAGGTTTCTGCTCTAACAGATCATATGACAATCAATAGGGACTGATCATTTTTCGATAAAAACATATATATTGCTATTTGCGGTTGAAAGCAATGAATACATTTGAAAATTGAATAAAAAAGTGACTAAGTTTATCCAAGTGGATTAGTTTTAACAATACCTCAATACATATGTAAAACATCATAAATAGAAGGAAGTTGTCGCTGTATTCAATTTTTTTTATCGCCTGCCAATGCGGAAAAGAAATCTTGTGATGGAAAAGACATCTACATCACGAGTTCAGCTTTGCATTCCCATACTAGAAGCAACCTTTGATTATGATCCAACAGATATTCCTTTGGATATCTCAAATGATCCACTTCTAAGCGAAATTATTGTACCTAATCAATACAAGGCTACAGGAAATTTGACAGAAAAGCCCTTAACTTATGATATTATTTATAGACGTTACGACTTCAGGCCTTTTACCTGGATAGACCTCTTAAATCAATTATCATCTTTTACTCCAAAAACACACATCGAAGAAGAGGTTGTTCTCAGCTTTGCATTTCACCAATCTGTATCGATATTCTATACATTCGATAGGACTCATGAATTCCATGGCAGTGATTTTCTCATAATTATACTTTCGAAATTTGCGAAATCGAGATACAGCAATCTTGTTGCATCGATAATATCAGAGCTATTCGAAATCTTTTTTGATTATGGTGTTGAAAAGAGATTGGTCGAAATTTTTCCAAATATAACAGATTTTGTGCTCGAACTTCAAGATGGAGCCCACACATTAATCAATACTATTGTATCTTGTATAGATAGATATATAAATAACAACGGCTATAACTTTGAAGGAATTCTGCCACAGTTATTAACTCTTGTGCAAATGATTGCTTCGGATAAAGCCCAATTTTTCGAATTATCTCACTTTAATATACTTTTCAATGCAATACGACCTCAAATTTCTAAGTTAAATGATCTCGGTTTATTCCTTCTACAAAAAATCAACATGTACTTACCGAGAGAGTCACAAGAGCTCTTTGTATACGATATACTACAATGCCTACCTTCAATTATTGAAGCAACTCCTCCTTTTGCAGTTGCCCAAAAATTAGATATAAATCCAGTTGAATTTCCAAAGAATTTATCAACTGAAATGAAATTTAATGATGTCGTGACATTCCCTAACGGCATAAATCTCAACAAAAACATTTATACAAAATTCCAATATCCAGAAATTTACAAAGTAAGCATTTACTCCCAGATATCAGTTGCTTTTGAGATAATTGGTTCAATCCCATCAGAACTTGACCTTTTCCTTCCAAAATTTTTCAAAATTGTCGAATCGAAGATGGATTCAGACTATTATCTTGAATATGTTTCATACTATGCACTTCTATTAAGCTGTATTTCCGAAAACATGGACGGATACGAAGTAGATATCCCTAAATTAATTTTAGATCCGACATACAGTTCAGAAAACATCAAAATGATATTTATTATCAAACTTCTTAGTGTAAGATTACTATTAAAGCAGGGATCAGAGTCATATCTCAAGATTTTCCAAACTTATTTGCCATATCTTCCTCAATTCACTCAATTAGTGCATATTACTATTGTTGAACACAAGAATGTTGTTAAATACATCAAGAGATCTCCGAAATTCATTCCAACAATCGTAAATGTGTCAAGATTATTAAGAGATCTTAATATGACAAAAACTGACAACTCAAATCTGATTGAAGAAGCCAGAGAATCATTATTTATCATGCTCAGTACTATTTTCCGTGAAAATGAGATCTTTGACTTGTTTATGGGAAATTCTTTGTTCATGTCATTTTTTGTGTCACTTTTATTCGAAGAAAACATCCAATTTTTTGCGATTGAGCTTTGCAGGTCATCATTTATGAGTAGTACATCAGATTTCCTTCTACAACAGTTCCAAATGATCATTACACAGATCTCTATTAATTCATTTAATTCTCTTCAAAATCTAAATTTAGTTTTTATGATTTTAGACATGTTGATTCACTCGATTTCCGAATTTGATCCTGTTTCCATTTTACTGCAACCTATTCATGATCTCGTAATGAACGTTTGTCAAACGGAAATCACTCAGAAACTCATGAAAACAATTATTAAGTTTTACACGAAATTGATTTCTTCAAAAAGTTTTGATTTGAAATATATAAATGAATTGGGAAAAACTCTCAAAAAATTGGAAATAAATGACCAAGAGACATTTGATTTATTGTTGAAACTATTAGTCAATGATGAGGAATTCTCGGGAACAGAAATTTTCGATTTCAAAATTCCAAATACTTGTTTGGCAATTTTTGACACTTTTTATCCATCAAAAAGTGACATAATTGACATTTTTATGAATTCCATTAGTAAAAACAAAACAAATGCGATCAAATTAAATGAATGCCATTTCGATGAACACATCTTAACATACATAATCCAAAATAGAGACCAAAATGACCAAAAATTATTGGATTTGTTCTTTTTGATCGCATTAATTGTTTCTTCTCCTTCTGTTGTTCAATTGTATTTGTCACTTTTCCAACCAGACGATAACAGATTTGCCAACAAATCATCATTATTTTATTTAGAGCCATTGAAGAATTTATTTAACAGGACTCGGAAATTCCCTGCGAGTTATTTTTACACAGGTGACAAATTACGATACCAACATAATTTTAAGAATGGTTTTGGAATGACATTTTGGTTGAAATTGTCAACTTTGATGAGTTCTGATTTGTTTTTAATTGGAGATATATCTATAACAACATCTAATGGTTATTTAATGATAAAGAACACAAAAATAGATTATATAATAAATGTCGATGAATGGACATTTATTTCTATTAATCTCATTGATACGAAATTATCTGTTTACATCGAAAAAGAACAATATATTTTCGATTTTCCAAATTATTCAATTAAAAACGGTTATTTCCAAATTGGCGGAAAGGGTGACGCAAAATTATCATCTATTTACATTAATGAACAAATACCATTCTCTAAGATTGCAGCTATAAGAAATAGAGGAATTAGAGAGCCAATTGATGAATTATCAAATGGAATTTATATAAATTCCGATCAAAATTTACAAACAAGACCATATCAACATTCTAGTTTTTGTAATATTTTGTTGAGATTCTTTGGTGTGGAAATATTATTACCTTTGTTTGCTCAAATAGATCTCAAAACAAGAGATGGAAAAGAAAATGATTTGACTGCTCCTTATATTGTGTCACTTTTACAATCAGCAATTTTAGTTGATTCCAAACAACAGAACATTTTTTATAACTCAAAAGGTGCAAATCTGTTATCTCACTTGTTAATGTCATTGGAAATAAGTCACCTCACTTTTACATTATATGAGTCACTTTTTGAACTTTACGAAAACCTCACTTTTGTTGATTTGAAGCGCCATTTCATAGAAAATATCTTGTTGAACTTTGATTTGTGGATACCAATGAAAAGTGATGACCACAAACAAATTTTGACACTTTTAACTGAAAAATTCCATTCAAATGCTCAATTTTTCGTAGAAGTTCTTCCATTCTGCAAACTGATCAATATCATGAGAACATTCTATTGGTATACATGGCTTGAATTGAACCAAAATGGAGGAACAGACACAAAAAGACAAAGACCAGCAGATTTTGACACTTTTGGATGTCGACATATTTTAGGATTATTTGCGAAGAATATGGCCGGAGTTTCATTTGAAGAGAAAGAGTTTAAGCAATTGATATTGTCTATAATAACATTACCTGATGAAAAACAACAAACAGGCATTTTGAATTTAACAATTTCTATTATTAAATTCAAACCTTCTCCAATAAGAAACATCCAAAATATTGACCAGATTGTTACTTTGTTGCATGGCCAGATAAACACTACTAGTGAGAACAACATCTCTAAAGTTATAGAATTGATTATTTTGACACATAAAAATAACAAATTCTATACTTTGTCCTTACAAGATCATTTGGACATTGTTTTCCATTTGATTTCACAAAGAAAATATTCAGAACAATTATATGATAATTTGGAAAAGTTGTTATTACTTTATCCTGAATTATTCAAGATTGTTTCTTACTTCTCTTTCGTCGGAGAAAAAATGACACTTTACGATAACGTACAACCGATGGCAGAATACGTTATTTCGCCAGGATGGAGTTTGTGGTCGATTTGGACTGCAATTCACCATGAGAATGATAAAATCATTGATTTTATCGCTAAATGCGACCCATCACAGTGGATGAAGATTTATGCGACGATAGAAACCGCCGCAATTATTGAGAATGTTGACAAATATAATTTTTTGTCAATTTTCTTGACAAAATGTGTCACTTTTTGTGTTGAATCGAATGTTCAAGAAAAATTTACTGTTGAACTTATGCAATTAGTATATAACTTTTTGTTCTACCACACGAAACCATCGCCAAACGTTGCTTTGTACAGTTTACTTTATGAATTTTATTATCAAAAAAGTGACATCACTTACATTGACTTCACTTCAACTGGTGACATATCAGAGAATTCATCAGAAGTTCCATCTTGGTCGAAATTGGCTCCAAAACCAGTTGAGAATTTCATGAATTTCAAGATTATTCCAAGAAAACAAATATTTTCAATGAGAGTCACTTTTGAAGAAATGCCGTTTAATAATTCATATCACAACAGTCCGAAAACTAAAAAATCTCATAAACAAATTACAAAAAGTGACATTTCATCATTGATTGAAGACAAAATTGATGAAAACAACGAAAATATTTCATTGAATGAAAAAGTTGAATATGTTCCAAAAGGCGGCAACAGTTTGCAAATAGCCAAAGGAGATTTGATCAATAAGAAGTTTGTTTGGGAAGATTCTAAAGTTGCTTTAATTAGTTTGGATTTAATAAAGAAATATCCAAATCCAGAAACAATAAACAGAGCAATAATCATCGCAGGATTCCTTGCACATACAATGAAAGATGAAGTCGTGAAATGGATAAGCGATGTTAAAGTTTTGATTGAAAAATCAAATTATTTCCCATTCCTTCTCATGAAATTGCAAAATTCATCATGTTTCGTTGAAGGAAACAATTCTCTTAATAATCTTGATGAACTTATTCCTATTTTCGGAGATAATTATCATAAAAAGATCAAACAAAACTATGATAAAATCGAGAAACTGCTCACAGCAAGTTTCCAAAATGATTCTGCAACGTTGATTGATAATTACATGGTTGATTACTGTGAATCAGCTGAAAATTACAGGAACAGGAAAACAGAAAACGACAAATTGTGGAGAACATTTTGGAGAAATGCTTCTGCAAGTGGTGGTCCATGGTCATTGGAACAAAAGGAAATTAAATGGAAGAGAGATCCTTCATTGCAAAACTATAATTGTCCATTTAAACTCCGACCAAACAACAAATTCGATAACCACATGAAGGCATCTATCGCAAGAGATGAAGGAAACATGAATACAGCTGTTGAAAAAACAAAGATTTACGAAGAAGAACTCAAAAGAAAATACGCTGAAAACAAACCTCCTGTTTTACTTGAAATTATTGATGACAAAGATTTGGACGATAGAAAAATTGACACTGACGATACACAGAAAATTTTGTTTAGTTTCGAATGCGAGTATATTACAATCAAGAAGACATTGAACTGCAAATTTAACATACATTCCAATTTTGCACATTTAATATCTGAAGACAAAAAGATCAGACAAATCAATTTCTTTGATATAAGAATGTTACTTTGGCGTAGAAGATTCCATCATAAAACAGCCATTGAAATATTCCTTATCAATGGTCGTTCATATCTCTTGAATTTCCCTAATTCTACATCCCAAAACATCGTAAATAAAATACAGATCCAAGGATTACCAAATGCGATTTATGTCCAGAAAACAGACATGAGTTCATTCTTTAAGAGTTTGGGATTTACAGAGATGTGGCAGAAGAGACAAATCACAAACTTTGATTATTTAATGCGCCTTAACATTTTCAGTGGTCGATCATTTAATGATCCATCCAATTATCCATTCTTACCATGGACATTGACTGAATTCACACAGCAAGAAATTGATCTCAAAGACAAATCAGTCTATAGAGATTTAAGTTTGCCAATTGGATGCATTGGTGATGAAAGAATGGAAGCATTACAAGATAGAATGGCCGATATGTTACAATTTGGTCAAAATCCATTTTTGTTTTCATCATTTGCCATTTGTCCATTGAGTTTATATTTGTGGCTTCTTAGATTGGAACCATTCACGACAATGCACATCGACATGCAATCAGGAAAATTCGATCATGCTTCTAGATTGTTTGCAAGTATTCCTGATACGTTTAAATTAGTCATTACACACATGAATGACTACAGAGAACTTATTCCTGAGTTCTTCTTCCAACCAAGCTTCCTTTTGAACGAAAATAACTTCGATTTGGGACAATCAAAAGGCAGGAAGATTGGCGATGTAGAATTACCTCCATGGAGTCATCAACAAATTTATGAATTTGTTAAAATAATGCGTCAAAGTTTGGAAAGTGATATTGTCAGTGAACAACTTAATAAATGGATTGATTTATTCTACGGATTGGATCAAAAACCAGTTCCTAATTGTAACTACGGTATTCTTTACAATCCGAATTCATATGAATCAATTTGGACAAAAGATAATTTGCAAGATCCTGCACAAAGAGCTTCAATTGAAGCAGCAATGTGTCATATCGGATCAATGCCTCCTCAATTATTCAGCACAAAACATCCTAAGAGACAGGCACGTATACCACGAAAATTGTTGCAAAATAATCTTTCAGCAAATATTACAAGTGGACCACTTTCTTGCGGTGTTTTGATCACTAAAAACGACAAAGTTGCAATTGTTGTTTCTGATTCTCAATTCGTAAAAAGTGTCACTGTTTTTTGTGGAGAAAATCAAATTGATGTTCCAAAGAAATTCACGTATAATCACTTCATACAAGATGTTATTTATATCACACGTGAATTCCTTTATTTGACAAAAGCAGGTCGAGTTTCTGTTTTGAACAGAGATGGAACTTGGAGTGAATTAGATTCAACACTTTTATCCGGTGTTTCATTGGTTTCAAGTTCACAAGGTTACCACAGTTTTGTTACAAGTTATGGATCAACATTAGCTGTTTTAGGGCCAAACATTAAGTACACAATTCCATTTTACGGAGAAAAGATTTTGTCCATTGATATGAGCAAAGAATTCGGATCAATTGTTTGTGGAACATCAAAGAAAAACATTGTTTTCATCAATTTATTCGAAGAATCTAAAATCAATGTCGTCAAATTAGATTTTGTTCCTAAATTCATTTCAATTTCTCCTTCATTTGGATTTGTTTGCGCTTGTGGAGGATCTAACTTCATCATCATGGATATCAATGGAAGAAAGATCAATTCTACATCTAAACTTGGCCAAGTTACAAGTTTATCTTCTTATTCTGATGAAGATGGTTTCGATTATTTCATTGCTGGCTGCGAAGACGGAAAAGTCTATGTTTGCGACGCTTTCGATGGTTTCTCAAACAGTGTTGTCCATAGATGTGGTAACAGAGTTATTGCTACAGCTCACAGTGATACTCCTTTCGCTACAATTTGCTTGACTGAAAATGGAAATATTCATTATTTCCCAATGGTTTGAAAATAATTATATATTTCTTGTTTATTTATATTAGTAAATTATTCATTTTTAAAAATTCAGTTCAATATTTTTTTTCCTTTACATATATCAATAGATCAGTGTTAATCACCATCACAACTATTGATGTATTCTTTATACAAGCTTAGTATCGCCAAGCTTTATCATGTCATTAATAAAATCTGAAATATGTTTGTATTCATAGACACTAAACATGGATAGTCTGCATTTAAGTTTGTAATTACCTACGTTCATTACGCTTATTATAATCTCGAATTAATGGGAATAGTAAGATCAGAAATAAAATTTATTTGGAACAAATCTAATCTCAGCTAATCTATTTCGCAATATTTATGTGTCCTATGGCTTATTAGTAGATGAGCTGAATCAAATCATCGATCGGAATTTTTGACAGCTTCGTAAAAAAAATCAAATTGAACTTTCATCCGATTAAATAAATTTCGCAAAATAATAGTGTGTGGGATGTTATTGCATATTTTATATTCAGATGGATAAAAAAGAAACGACATGGCTAATTTGGCCGCATATCAAAAATCATCAGAAATCTATTATGTTTATTTTACTTGCTGCGCTAGGTCTCGCACACGCCGTTGACATCATCGACGAGCTTAACGACTACACATTCGATAAATACGTCAAGCATCGTAAAAATACTTCGACAATTTTTGTTATGTTTTATAAGAATAATTCTCCAGAGTGCAAGAAGGCAGCTCTCGCTTTCGTTGAAGCTGCTGAGTCAAGCTATGGTATGGTGCAGTTTGCACGTGCTAATGTAAGAAATAATACGCATGTTGTCAATGATTTAAAGATCACATCATATCCAACATTTATGATATTCTATCCAGGCGGCACACGCATTTACGATCAAAAGGAGATCACAGCTAAGAATTTAGTCAGATTTTCAGATCGTTTTATCCCACGCCTTGCAGAACCAGTCGATGAATACTGGGTTCCAGGCAAAGAAGGCTACGAAGTCGACAGTGCTGCCATTCTCTTCTCTCAGAAGAAATATTCCCCAACAATGTGGAACGCAATCAGTAATGCCTACAACGAAACATACCTCCGCATCGGCTTTTGCAACAACGAGAACATCACCAAAGAGTTTAACGTTACAGACGTCCCAGCCATCGGTTTCCTTCACAACAAAACATTCACCCTCTACAACGGCAATAAGACATTCCTCGACATTTTCTACGCCATTAAGAAGGAATACCCGGAACTTGCACGTCCAAGACCACCGCCAACACCAAAGCCAAAGCCATCTGATTATGTTACCGATGAAGGCGTTTGGAAGGCTACTTGCAAGAAGAAGAAATACTGTATATTGCAAGCCAAGTCCAATAAAACAGAAGATTTCATCAAATTCGCAGAAGATTACGTTACAGAACCATTCAAATTTGTATCATGCGGAGAAACATGTCCATTCCCAGAAATGACCGATGGTTTCTGGGTCTTCCATACCAAACTTGATAGAGCTATGTACGCAGAGGACCTTGAAGGACTCAAACTTCATCTCGGAAGATTCCTCGGAGGAAATCCGAAATGGACCAACAGAGAGGAGCTCCTTGCTGAAGTTAAAGCAATGAAGGGTAACAAAACTACAACAGAAAATGTACAAACCAAATCTGAGAGCTCACAAGAGCTTTGAAGCGTCTTTTTTATTTTAAAGTATAAATTTTTATCAAATAACAATTTTTTAATGATTTGTTAAAAATATTTTCGAAATTTTCAAATTTTATACAGACAAAAAAACAAAATTTTATTCAATAAGACGTTGTATTTGTTTGATTTGATCCTCCATTTCTTTTTGGTTCTCACGGATATCGCTAATTTCTCTTTGAAGAAGGAATAAAGCATCCAAAACTTCTTCCATCGTAGGTTCTTTTACTGGTTTCTTGATTAATTTTCTTTTTGGAGTTATTTTAATCTGCTTTTCGTCGATCTGATTATCAAGAGGTGGTATTTCTGGCATTTTGAATGGATTTTCTGCTTTCTTTTTGGATGAAGTTGTTGATTTATTAGATTTTGATCCACTTGATATTGTTTGATCTATTTTCGATTGTTCTGCTGCTGTCAATCTTTCTTCTGTATCTCTAACTTTATCAATTATACGATCTAAAACAGTAGAAACTTTATTATAAAATTGGGTATCGTCGCGACTCTGCAAAGAGTCTAATTCTTCATTTACTGAAACTTGTCTCTTTACAGACATTGTATAATTTCTCTTTTAAAAATCAAAAAATACAAAAATAAACGTATATCATTTTACATCCTTAGCAATAGAATAAGATAATAAGAGTGAGAAAATATATTGAAATGATATTAGCCCATAATCGTTATTCATGAATGCCGTCACTCCGAGGTATTACCCCTTGCATTTTCTTTCATTGAAAATTCGGTGTTACCTTGGTAGATTTATTGAGTTCGCATAGATATTTAGAGAACAGTTGATATTGATGATGTATTGTACATGACATGATGTATAAATTTATTAAGATTATTTAGTTAAACATTGTTATCTACTTTTGATATATTGGAGATTTCTAACATGTTTATTGATTTTTGGTTTTTTAGTCGGATTTACTCACGCAAATGTATTTTACATGAGAAATATGAATGCATTTCAATTTTTGATTTTCAATCATCTCAAATCTCGACTTTGGCCCTGGAGATTTCCATAAGATTCCATGTATTATTAGATTATATGATATTATTAATTTATGCAAAATTGTAGGAAAGGTTGTGCAAATTTGGTCAACTTTAGTGCACAACAAGAAAACGCTGCACACCTGTAACCCCCAATAAAGTTTTCGTTCGTTATTATTTGTGAAATGCATTGCTTATGTTTTGAACCTTTGTACTGTAATAAGTTTTATTTTGTGCAAGCAGACTATTGCATGTATTAGTTCAATAAAAGTTAGAAAAATGAAATATCAAATTTCAAATCAATCAAATTTAATAAATACATTATATGCTATTTGATCGAAATACATTTTTAAGCTTTTTTATTTATAATCAAATCAATCTTCGAAAATATCAGAAAAAATAAAGAATATTATCTTATCTAAGAACATTATTCTTTGGAACCACGCGAAATAAGAAATTCGGCAGTTTCTTTACTATTTTCAGATGCTGCATCATGAAGTGCGGTTTTTCCATTTTGGTCCTTTTCATTGACATTCGCACCATGTGAAATAAGGACTTCTGCAGTTTCTTTACTATTTTTATATGCTGCATCATGAAGTGCTGTTTTTCCATTTTGATTCTTTTCATTGACATTCGCACCATGTGAAATCAGAACTTCTGCAGTTTCTTTACTATTTTTATATGCTGCATCATGAAGTGCTGTTTTTCCATTTTGATTCTTTTCATTGACATTCGCACCATGTGAAATCAGAACTTCTGTAGTTTCTTTACTATTTTTATATGCTGCATCATGAAGTGCTGTTTTTCCATTTTGATTCTTTTCATTGACATTCGCACCATGTGAAATCAGAAGTTCTGCAGTTTCTTTACTATAGGGTGTCCAAAGGTGCGTTTAGCACAGCGCTCTATATGAGACTATTAAAGGAGATATATGCTGATTATAAATATATAATAAAAAATATGAATATATGTATATGATGAGTATGTTGTATTTTGGCGCCATGCCGGGATATAAAATGAATTTTGAGACAAGAGGCAGTTTCGCGGGAAATTTTGGCGGGATTTTTTTCATTTTTTTAATGAATCATAAAGAAAACATCCTCGCTCTTGCAAAAAAATGCAAAGACTGTAAAAAAATCTACGAGACATTGGTAAAATGCTTCGGTATGGATGCTCCTAGCTATTCCACTGTAACGTATCATGTTAGGATGTATCACTTCATGAACAAAAAGGCGCCCATCATAAAAATTGACAAAAAATCGCCGGATCAAAGAAAAATCAAAGCAATTCTTCAAGCGCTAGATGAAGACCCAAGAGCATCACTCAGAAGGATAGAGGAGATGACAAAGATACCACGTACAACAGTCAGTTATTATCTGCACAATTATTTGAACTACAAACTAGCGTATACACGTTGGGTTCCGCACAATCTTAATTCAGTTCAAAAAAAATCTAGAGTCCAATCTTCGAAAGAGCTCCTCTCTATATTGGGTGCGTATCAATCCAAGAAGTTTCGCTTTTTAGTAACAGGGGACGATTCTTGGTTTCAATATGCAACAGAAGCCAAAATCATGTGGATCCCGAAGGATGAAAATCCGCAAACATTCCCGAAGAAAAAAATTGACACACCAATGATGATGTTGTCGGTTTTTTGGGGCGTGAATGGCATCATCGCAATTGATATTCTTCAAAAACCTAATACGATGAATGCTCAGTATCTAATTGACAATGTTCTTACTCAAATTATCAATTCTGATGAGTTTGAGAAATCCAAACAACAAAAACAAAAGTTTGCAATTCATTTTGATAATTCAAGAGTTCACAAAAGTCATAAGGTAATGAATTACTTGGTGGAAAACAATGTCAAAGTTGTTCCAAACCCAATTTATTCACCTGATATTGCACCCTCTGACTTTTATTTATTCGGCACGCTAAAAAAGAGAGCTGAAGGACGCGAATTCGCGAGTCCAGATGATCTTGAAAATTTTGTAAGAGAGCAATTTGAGCAATTTTCTCATGATGATTTAAAGCGTGTCTTTCAAGCCTGGATCGATCGCTGCGAACGCATGATTGAATCCAATGGTGATTATATTTAAATAAACTTTATATATATGTAACTTGTTTATTTCTATTCGCAGTATTCAGGTTTGTGCTAAACACACCTTTGGACACCCTATATTTTTATATGCTGCATCATGAAGTGCTGTTTTTCCATTTTGATTCTTTTCATTGACATTCGCACCATGTGAAATCAGAAGTTCTGCAGTTTCTTTACTATTTCTATATGCTGCATCATGAAGTGCTGTTTTTCCATTTTGATTCTTTTCATTGACATTCGCACCATGTGAAATCAGAACTTCTGCAGTTTCTTTACTATTTTTATATGCTGCATCATGATGTGCTGTTTCTCCATTTTGATTCTTTTCATTGACATTCGCACCATGTGAAATCAGAAGTTCTGCAGTTTCTTTACTATTTCTATATGCTGCATCATGAAGTGCTGTTTTTCCATTTTGATTCTTTTCATTGACATTCCCACCATGTGAAAAGAAGTATTCGAAAAGGGATCGAATATTAAAAATAGGTGAATGAACAAAACATTTGTTTATATCCTTAGTTTGATCGAAATAAACTAAAAAGGATTCGAGATTTTTGTTTATTCCGCAAGAATCTAAATCAATATCGATATTGTATTCATTCATCAAAAATGTAATAAAATCAATGTTGTGTGAAATAATTGCATATTCCATACATTTTTTGTCTGGTTTTTGATATTTCAAACATTCACTCATGATAGGGTTGTACAAACTGGCACAATTTTGCGGGCCGCGTGCCAGGAGCTGGCACGCGGCCAAAATCAAAAAAGTGGCCAAAAATCGGGCCTCGTGGCGTGGAAAGGATGTCGCCCTTCGGGCTCCACCCTTTCCACGCCACTCGGCCTATGACCACAATTATATAATATGCTCATTATTATTTTGTCTTTTTTTTCTTTTTCTCTTTTCTTTCTTCTTTTTCCCTTTTCCCTTCTTTTTTTCTAGTTTTGGAAAGGAAAAAGTAAAAAATTTAATAATTAATTTTATTACTATGAAAATATACTTTTTAGCTTATATTGTAAGCTGTGAGAGTTTTAAGTGATGGAAGATATAAATCAAATTTGAAATTCAACAAATCTTGTTATGATTAAGTTGAATATTGTACTCTAATTAAGAGTTTTCAGTTATGAACTCAGGTATTATATAATAAAAGTATAACTCAAGATAATAAAGAGGTTTTTAAAATGTAGATCTGAAAATCAAACTACCATGTTTGATATGATTAAGTTGAATAATGTTATTTTATTAAATGGTTCAAATCTGTGAAATCGGCAATTACAAATTAAAGGCGTAGTTCAAAAAATTAAAGAGATTTTAAAAATTTAATATCAGAATTAAACTAAAAAAAGGATTTAGTTATTTCAGTAATTATCAGAAAAGGTTAAAAAGATAGGGTAAGTAATGAGACTTGAGTGAGATGTGAGAAATCATATGTAAATAATTAGATATCTGATGAGTAAGGTAGTAATGAGAGTTAAGATCTGGTTAGTAAGGTAGTAATGAGAGTTAAGATCTGGTTAGTAAGGTAGTAATGAGAGTTAAGATCTGGTTAGTAAGGTAGTAATGAGAGTTAAGATCTGGTTAGTAAGGTAGTAATGAGAGTTAAGATCTGGTTAGTAAGGTAGTAATGAGAGTTAAGATCTGGTTAGTAAGGTAGTAATGAGAGTTAAGATCTGGTTAGTAAGGTAGTAATGAGAGTTAAGATCTGGTTAGTAAGGTAGTAATGAGAGTTAAGATCTGGTTAGTAAGGTAGTAATGAGAGTTAAGATCTGGTTAGTAAGGTAGTAATGAGAGTTAAGATCTGGTTAGTAAGGTAGTAATGAGAGTTAAGATCTGGTTAGTAAGGTAGTAATGAGAGTTAAGATCTGGTTAGTAAGGTAGTAATGAGAGTTAAGATCTGGTTAGTAAGGTAGTAATGAGAGTTAAGATCTGGTTAGTAAGGTAGTAATGAGAGTTAAGATCTGGTTAGTAAGGTAGTAATGAGAGTTAAGATCTGGTTAGTAAGGTAATAATGAGAGTTAAGATCTGGTTAGTAAGGTAGTAATGAGAGTTAAGATCTGGTTAGTAAGGTAGTAATGAGAGTTAAGATCTGGTTAGTAAGGTAGTAATGAGAGTTAAGATCTGGTTAGTAAGGTAGTAATGAGAGTTAAGATCTGGTTAGTAAGGTAGTAATGGGAGTTAAGATCTGGTTAGTAAGGTAGTAATGAGAGATCTGCGGGCAGTAATGATACATCTATGAGTACATAACTAAAACCTGAGTTCTATGAGCGAAATCTGAGAGCTAAAAGCTGAGAGATCTAAGGTAAGTAATGAGAGAAGAGAATTTGAAATTTTACAAAATACGTTTACTCATACAAATTAATTCGCATTCTTTTATAACGAATCTCAATGCCAATTAATACATAAAACAGATTTTAGCAATCAATTGTAAGATTTAGAAAGATTTTATTTATAATCTCAGCCAAATTAACAAATATTTTATTGATTTCGTAAAAAATAGCAATAAAACATAAAAATATGACATTCTATTTTTCCAAAAAAATTTCAAAAATCATTTTTTAACGTGAAATTTATATTTTTTAATATTATTTTTTAAATTTTGAATTTTTTTTGGAATTTTCAACCATGTCAAAAGTCGGTAGGGTTGTTAGATTCCCGACGATAGGTGTCTTGGAAGATTTGCCTGGTGTCATCATAGTGTCTTTAAATCAAAAATTTTATTTTGGAGTTAGTTTTATTGATTTTTCAATAAAAAACATTTCTAAAACAAGAAAATAAAACGATAAAATATTTATATTTTATATAAGGATCTTATATATTTAAAATAAATATCATTTTATTTTTTTCATTGGTGTCTGTCAAACCATAATACACTATTCAAAAATTCAATGTGTCTTGCGGTTTCAAAAGACACCTTCAAATTGAACGATAGCACAGACACTATTGAATTTTACCCATTGTATTTAGTTTTTACCCTTTTTATTTTTAAGAATTAATGACTGAAACAGCCGTTTTGCTATGACCTCAATCACTTTTATTTATTATTTTAAATATTATTTAATTTTATTATTTGAATAAGTCAACTTATATTTGAGAAGCTCAATTTGAGACCACTTAATACATTGAAATATCATAAATATTGAAATATTAAAAAGTGTATTTCAAAATATTGAAATTATAAAAATTTATAATACTGAAATTGAGACAAATTAATAAATTCAATGTGTTTTTTTTGAAATAACTCTCAAATATTATTTTTTTGTTTATTTAATGATGAATAAATATGATTGCTTTAGTCAATCATAAAAACTAATTTAAGTTTAAAATAATGAAAGGATAATTTGATCGTTTTTTAAAATACAATTATTTTTGATGATTTGCAAGAATCTTTGAAAAGAATATAATATAGGTTCTATTTTTGTAAAATTTATCCAAATCATGTATTACAAAAAGAACCAAAAAGTGTGTTTTGTGTTTTGTTGTTGCGTGTTGGATGCGGGATCCTGTTATTTCCGAAATCGACAAAAAATTTGGAAATTTAATTTCCGAAATCGAAATTATATTAATGTTTTTAATATTCTTATATCAAAAGGATGAAAGTTCATTAAGAGAAAAACAATTCTTCTTCTTCAATCTATTGGCGCATTTATTTCTACACGCCAATAAGGAAGGGAAAATTATAAGACACCATGGTGTCTTCAAAACGCTAATTTTTGATATTTTTAACAACCCTAAAAGTCGGGATCTACAAATGTATTCTCTTTGACATAGGATAAAAACATCCTTTCTTATAATTTCATTGTAAAATAAAATTTTCTTAAATTTATTGAATCCAAACTCAACTTTGCAACATTTTATTATCATAAAAACTAAGAAACATCAGGTAAACTTCAATTTGGAGAGCTTAAAATCATATCTAAATTGAAAAATAAGGGGAAAAAAATTGTAAAAAAAATCTCATTAGATGGGGCAAAAAGTGACTTTTTTTAATGTGTTTTTTAAAAAAATCGTGCCAGCTGGCCAAAAAAGGTGTGCCAGCAGGCGTGCCAGTTTGTACAACCCTAACTCATGATCTCTGGATTTCCTCCTAAAAATGAAAACTCTAGACATTTTTGAGTTATTTCTGAGCTGCATTTAGTTCTTAATAACTTGAAACAATCAACTGCTCCATGGTAACAACATAATTCAAGTAATGAATATCCTTCATAAGAATATGGATATAAACCGCTTTCAAGTTTTTGATCTTTATCAAATCCATCTATTTCAGTGAATGTGATGAATCTTTCTAAGTCATTATTCATAATTGCTCTGTATATTGTATTTTCTGTATGAACATCAAGATTTTTAATATCATCTTTTCCGAAATCAGAAGATTTGTCTATTTTAATTCCATATTCTTTATAAAACAGGAAGTTTGAAATATTAGGGATTCCATTGACTTCTTCCACATGATATTCATCAATAAACAGTTTGGCAAGAAATAAATATGACTTTGTATAGCGATTGTTATACGGAATGATTTGTAAAATGTCTTCTATAATATCTTTGGATGGATATTTATTGGAATCAATCAATTCTGTTTTGATCATTTCGTAAATTGATTTTAATTCTTCTTCTTTTTCTGTTTTCAACTGATACAACGCGTTGTATATCTCGATATAATATTTGTGGGTATTTCTTAGTTCACTGTATTTGTTTGAATGAATGTCTTGGTTGGACATTAAAAATTTTTAAAAAGAACACAATTGCCTTTTACCATATAAAATACTCCTTAAATTAATTAGAAGAAAAAATACTATGTCATACATGTGGAAAACAATGACCACAAAGATTTCGGAAAAGGTGACCAAACTATTTTTTGAAAGTCCGCCATAACTTTAATGGTACTATTTCAGCGTGTACAATGAATACAAAAATTCTAAGAGTGCCACATAAAATAGTACTTTAGACTTGAGTTAATGCTACCAAGCAAATGTTAAAAAGATGACTTTAGTGTTTTGATAATCAAAGATTAAAATCATTATTGTCTAAATCAATAATCATAACGACAGAAGTTAATGTTTTTTCATCAGTGCTTTAAATCCACTTTTAAAAGTATACCTCAAAAATCAAAATATCAAAAAAAAATTGGCCGATAGGTTTGGCTTTAATTTTTGTCTGCTTTTATGATTTGATATGGATGTTATAATTTTAAAAGTTGAGCCAAATTCACCAATAGATTTTTGAGATTTGCAAATACTCAATAATTTTCAGCGTGTTATCTTTTATTAAAAGAACTATTTGGTTTCAGTATCATATAAATTGATATTTACTTTCTATTTGAACCTTCATTTAGCTAATGATTTAGTAATACAGATTTCATCTAATCCTTATAAGAGAATTTTGAATTTGTTATAATAAAAAAACAAACAAACAAAAAAAAAAAAAAAAAAAAAAAAAGGTAGTGGGGCTTCCAGGCACTTCGTGCCCTCTAGCCCTGAAGATGTTTAGTATAAATGAAGTTTTTATTCGGAGGGCTTCCAGGAGCTTTTCACAAATTATATATGTTTTCATGTTTTGTCACTTTTCTGTCACTTTTCGGGTAAAAACATTTTTATTATTATATATAAATGAATTTTACAAAACCACCGTTACCGTTCTTTGGAAATAAGAGTAGATGTAAAGATATTATATTGAGAGAACTTAAGAAACTACCGAATGGTCTAACATTTGTAGATTTGTTCGGTGGAAGTTTCTATATATCTCATTTATGTCATACCGTATTTCCTGACTCAAAGATTATATGCAATGACTTCGACAACTATATGGACCGTCTCAAACATATTCCAGACACAAACAATATATTGAAAGAGTTAAAAGAAAAGATACCTATAGGTAAGATGGAACGTATACCATTAGATAACAAAAATATTGTGAGAGAGGTTTTGAAAAAAGCAGAATATATAGACTGGAATAGTATATCTGCTAGACTATTATATAGTGGTGCTATAAGAGTTCATGACATTGAAACACTTATGTCAAAAGTTTTATATCTTAACTATACAAATGTTTTCAAAGAGGACATAGATAAATATATTGAGGGTATAGAGTTTGTGAGATGTCATTGGACAGATTTGTATGAAAAATATAAAGACAAGGAAAATGTTTTCTTTATAGTGGACCCGCCGTTCTATAACACATGGGATTTTCAATACCAAGTAGACTGGACTTTGAGAGACTCTTTAGAAACTTTAGACGTTTTACATAACCATCCATGCTTTTACTTTACATCCGATAAAAGTGGTTTGGAAACCGTTATGAGATGGTTAGAGGACATACATGACTATGAGTTTATATATGACAAGATAGAATATGAGAGAGGTCCTATAAACTGGAGAAAGTGTCATAACAAAGAAATTTTATTAGTAAGTAAATGTGGTTTGAAATAGGACTACTTGTTTTAGGTTTTTTCCATTGTGTCATTTATTTATTTGACGTGGCAGAAAAGTACAGAGAATATGAAGATGAACCAATGCCTGCAAATGTCCAGTATATGTACTCGTAAGAGATATTTTTATCTAATATTAAATGGACGCACAGAACTTAGCGAATGCACAGCAACCTGGACAACCAAACCCAGAGAATATTCCAAATGAAGTTAGAATACAAACTGCAATGGCAAACTATGGTCAAGTGCCAACAGATGTACAAATGCAAACTGCCATGTCAAATGACGCTGCGTTAGGTTTGCCACCATGGTATGCAAATATGAGATGGAAAGAGTTTTATACAAACCCTGAAGTGGGATATAAACAACTTTATGCAGATGACGCGAACACAGGAGTTGACCCAGAATATGTTTTCTACCAGAGGAGAAACAGAATGTATGAGCTCCAGTTAAAGAATGCTATGGAACTCAACAGGAAACGTAAGAGACTAGGCGGACATTAGATTTTTACATATAGTAAAATGGGTTTCTTCAGTAGTATTGGAAACTTCTTCAGAAGAGTTGGAAGAGGTATATGGAATGGAATAAAAACCGTAGGAAGAGGAATTTGGAACGGAGTCAAAAATATTGGTAAAAGAGTAGGTCAGTTCGTTGGTATTATACCTAAAGACCCTGAACCAGAAGAACAAGCTCCTGTTATACAACAGCCTGAACCTGCACCACAGTCTAGTTGGCAACCAAATCCAACACCTCAACCGTATTAAAAAATTATATTTTTACCGTTCGATAGTAGTTGTATATGAAACTAAGTTCTAAGTAAAACGCATGGTATAATGGAATTATTCTTTTTCTTCCATCTGTAGTAAACCATACTTGAAAGTCTGAAATACTTCCACTTGGTGGTTCGTATAACTTTGTAGGTTTTTCGTAAAAGTCATTTGCCAAGCATAAGAAAGAGTTTTGGGCGCCAGAAAATGAAGCATGAACAATAATAGCAGCTGGGTCGAAAACATCTTTAAATAAATATGGTTCATCTCTTGCATATCGACTGTAAATATTTGCTAAAGGAAGTTCGACTTTCTGATTTAACATTCTTTGCAAATAATACCATGACATTGCAGTGAATTCTGTATATATTTGTTCGTCTTTCTTTGGATTGTCTTCGTAGATTTGAAATGACACTTGTGAATTTTGTTTGTCATATACAATTCTCACATAAAGTGTGCTCTCGGTATTTGCATATTCATCAGCATATTTTGCATAACATGAATTTATTTTATCTTCTATATTTTTTAACGCAGTCTGTAGAGAAGATGAAAGGTCAACTTGTATTAGCTCAATTTCTTCCCACATTTTTCGTTTCCCTTCAGATATATAATCTATATGAAACCTTACAATAAATGGAAAACTTTTATCTTCTACAGACACAAACTTCATTCTACGAAAGCCAATAGCTTTTGTGACAGATGGGTCTCTTAGCCATCTTAATGGGTAGTCAAAACGATAGCCTTCATGCTTTACGGTCTCTGTCTCAAACTTTTGACCGACATTAGTAAAAAGTTCATCTAATGGTTTAGTTGTAGCAACTCTTGAATTTTCTTTTTCTATTGGAAGCATATTTTATCTAGAATAAAAATGTCAAATGAAACAGCGTCTATGAGAGAAATACAACACAACCGACAACTCATTATGCAAGCTCTAAATAAGAACACAACAAACTTTTCAAACTATTCTAAGATATCTGAGTCATTGAAAGAAGGAAACTTAAAACTGACATTAAACCCAATGACAGATGAGTTTCTGTTTCAAGACAATAAGAACCATACTGTCTGTATAAATCCAACAAAAGGAACTTTAAACGAGAAACCTATAAATGAACTTCTTTTGAAAGCAGATGTTGACAACAAAGCTGACAAAGAATATGTAGACGATGCAATAGCAAAAAAGAAGAAAGAGCTAACAATGCTTATGCAACAAAAGAACATACTCATCCTGAACTAGCAGACAAAACATATGTTGACAATAAAATGTCAAGTGAAGTGACAAGAGCTGAAAACGAATATTCTAAAAAGACTCATATACATTCTATATCTGAAATAACAGACTTAAACGTTAGCCTTGAAAAGAAAGCAGATAAGGAATATGTGGCTAGTAAGTTAGAGAAGAAAGCGGATAAGGAATATGTGGATGAAAAAGATAACGAAATGAAAGAAAGGGTTGACTGGTACCATGAATGGACATCGAAGACTTTTAAAGTTAAAGCCGATACAGGATGGGTTTCAGGATGTTTAGACCTTAAAGCAGATAAAACTTATGTTAACGATGAGTTAGAGAAGAAAGCAGACAAGAACCATACACATACAAGTTTTACAACTGTTGCTATAGAAAGTATTGAAGGAACGGTTGAAGAAACTGGTGGGGATGCAATATATTGTAAACCTCCTAACTTTCCACAAGGTTTAACATCGGATGACGACATAACGACGATGAAAAACATTAGATGTAAAGATGTTTATGTCATGAAGGATGAACATAATATTAAATTCACTGCTCAAGATTTATATGACAAGAAAGCAGACAAAACAGAGCTTCAAACATTAAAGACAGAAATACTTCAAACATTATATCCTATAGGCTCTATTTATACGTCAATGAACTCTACCAGACCAGAAACAGTTGGTTTTGGAACTTGGACTCAAATAGTCGACAGGTTTTTGTATTGTGCAAACTCTTCAAAGGAAACAGGTGGAAGTAAAACGATTTCAGGTGAAAATTTACCTGCACACAGTCACTACATAGATTTAAGTACATCTCAAGCAGGTTGGCATAAGCATAATTTTGGGATTGGTCAGCAATGACAAAAGGTAAAGGATATGATGTTAAAGACAACGTTCAGTTTGCTATAAATTGTTACTGGGTAACACTCAGGGAGATGGAAACCATACACATCGCGTTTCAGGATATACGCAAACAACGGGACAAAGTAAAGACTACATGCCACCTTACATGACAGTTTACGCATGGTATAGAAATGCTTAGTCGTCATTTTCAACTTCTTTAGCATATTCGTCAGGAGTTGTCTTATATTTGTTAGGAACTGTCTTTGAAAGTATACCACCTTGAACTTTGACAAGTTTGAAACGAGGTCTGACAATAGTAGTTTTATCTTCTGCTTGCAGTCTGTACATTTTGCCATGTTTGCCTAAAACTTCATAATATTCTCTTGTATACTTTCTTCTATTTTTACGAACACGAATGTGAGTACCTGTCGAGTTCCCATTGTTGTCATAGTCA